GAAACCCTTTAAACCACATAAATGCTTACAGAACCTATTGTCCTTATTAAAACCCTGATATTGACCACAAATATTGGGACATCTTTTCCCCATTTCAGAGGTATCGGCTTTTAACAAGCAAAATAGGTACTTCTTAGGATTTGCTCTTTAAAGCCATAAAAGGCAAGGGAGGGGAGATAGATAGGCTCCTTGCCTAGATAAAAGGGAGTGGAACATTTTTTAAAAGTCTAGAACAACCAGATAAATTTGGAAGCAACTCAGGCAAATGCCTTCTTAATTCACTGTACTATAAGAAGAGACAGTAAGCGAGACACAATCAGGCTTGCATGATTCTGTTTTATTTGACAGTTGTTTTAGCCTTCCCATGGAATTGAGTTCCTAGTCTGGTTTACCTAATGGGGCTGACAAGAAGGAAGAAAGAATCTTCCTTCAATGGTTCAACTACTCTACAGCCATTATTTTGCTGATTCTGTGACCTCCGTGCCCCTGCAGGCCTCAAAATCCTTATCAAAACTTGGGAACAAGAACTTTGCTGACATCTGTTGCAAAATAAGAAAGGGCTCAAAGTAGCATCCAGTAACTACCTCTAGTTTGCAAATCTTAATAGCAAGAACCACCTCACAGTATTTAAGATTGATAAGTCATTCATAAGTGGCAAGAAAACCAAGGCCAGAATCCTGGATGCAAGTTGGTTGGTAGATTAAGATGCTCGGTATCCATCAACATACAAAATGCCAATATTCCCCCATCCCTACAAATAAATAAAACTGATGGCCCTACTGCAAAGCAAGTCAGTGGATAAGGAAGGCAAATACCCTCCTACAATTACCAACCATAAGAATGAAGTGAAAGTCAGATATGCCTGTTGGCTGTAGATCAACCACCTCTAGCTGACCTACTGTCCCATCATCTACTTTTTGATATTGTTATTTATTTATTTCAATTTTATTGGCCACCCAACTCCAAAGAACTCCACAGACATCTATGCTTTATTACAAAATAGGAATAGGCCAAGACACTAATGCATCCCAGATACATTCAATAAATAGGAAGATATCATAGGGGTTTTTTTTGGTACCTGTATCACCTTGTTTTATAATTGAAATGACACCATGTTTTCACATGTATTCCATCTCATGGATAAGGTAATGGTTAAAGGGTTGTCTAGGAACAAGAAAACAGATTTATCTCAAAAAAAGTCATGAAAGCATATAGAATTATTTTGAGCTTATTACTAATTTTTATATAGATTTTATTAGTTTTTATGGGGTTAGGAATAAGATGGGATCGGGGTTGGGGTTGGAATTTAGGTTAGGGTTAAGATTAAGGTTAGGGTTGAGGTTTTTCCAAATGACATTCTCAATATTTAGCAAACAGCATAATGTCTGGGTTCATATATTTAACAAACAATAATAGATAATAGTTAATTATCATAAATAATATGTTAATTAATCACTCAATAGCCTTCTTCTTGCTAATATATATTCAAAATTACATATCACATTCCTTTCTCTTTAATTCATCTTTCTAACCATTGATCTATTACTACCTCACAAGGCTGTAGGCATAACCTGTATAAATGGAATACAGGATATATTGCCAAACTGTCTTAACAGTTTTGGCCTATAAGGAGAAACTAAACAGAATCAATTCTATTTAATAACGTAATGGAAAATCACCTGGAAACACTTGGTCTGTAGGCTCCACTAGGAGCTTAAAAATGTATCCTGGAAGAAGCAGTAGCCATCCCTATCAATGTCAAGAAAACTACATGGACGTATTTAGGAAGTCACCAAGAATTTAAGACAAAGGAGACGTTCTCTTTTTTCTTTACTGGTCATGCCACAGAGTTGTCTACAGGGCGGGGGTTGGTAAAATAAGTGATGATTTTGGTTGCAACTGCACAGTCGAAAACCCAGTCCTTTTGTATGGCCATTGACATCACTTACAGATATCAAGGGATGGGGCTTCTATTGCATGGGTGTGACTATCCTCTTGAATGGCACTGCTGCATGCCAGCTTGAGCTCCCGAAGAAACACTACACTGTAAACCTAACAAATAACTCAATAAAATGCATGTTAAAGTAACCATCGAAAAATATGCCAGAGAAATGTGAGCAGAAAAAAGTGGCCACTGGGAATGGCAATTTACCTATCTACTCCCAAAGCGTAGCATTGCCAGGCTCTGTGGATATGCAAATGGTTGAAAGGCTGCAGACAAATTATAGTACAACAGAAGAACAATGAGAATTAGAAAGAATGGCAGAGATCCGCCTTTGGAATTCATGGCTGCTGGAAGATGGCTGGCAGGGATAAATACTTCCTGGGCAAGACATACTCATTTTCTGCTTGGTTGCCTTGCATAACAACCACTTGGTGCAGCTGCTTGCAACCGTATTTTTTTTTTTAAAAAAAAAATGAAAATGCTTTACCAGAGCATCTATGTTTGGAATACTTTATGAATGATGCCTCATCTGGCAGGAAGAAGAAGCATCCTGGAACAAGACAGGAGGTTTTTTTTTTCCTTTTTGTTACTAAATATGGGTATGGGTTCTGTACAAGTCACGTAATCAAGTACTTCTTTGTTGTTTTAAAAATATAACAATAATTATAAATATCCCTCAAAGCCCAGAGTCACCTTACAGGGGAGATGTAAAGTAAAAACAGATAAAGGCGTCCCTGTGAATTTTACTCTGCTAGTCATTACTGGCTATAGGGCAGTGTTTCTCAACCTTGACAATTTTAAGGCATGTGGACTTCAACTCCCAGAATTCCACAGCCAGCATTGCTGGCTGTGGAATTCTGGGAGTTGAAGTCCACATGCCTTAAAATTGTCAAGGTTGAGAAACACTGCTATAGGGGGTGGTGCTCATCTCCATTTCAAGGCCATTGAGGCATCGCTGTCTGAAGATTTCCAACAGTGATGGAAATATAAGACTGAAGGTTCATTATTATCCATCCAAAGCTCTAATGTAAAATTAATAATAAAAAGAAGTTAATTTCTGCATGAGATATGCTTTGACAGAAAGCTTGCCATAATTGAAATATTATCTCCAATAAGACCTTAATGTCTATCATGAGTTCCATATCACAGAGAAGCATTGCATACAAATGCACGTGTTTCTGCCCTAATGATTTGAAAATGAGTTTTAATGAACACACTAGAGCCAACTTCCTAATAAATATGCATAAAAAAAGATTGCCCATATCACATTACCTCTTGAGGATAAGACTTCCAGTGCCTTTTGTTTATTTGTAACATATCTTAAGAGAGAGATTAATTGTTACAGACTTTACACCAAACATGTCTTCACTTTAATTAAGGATGACTCAAACAATGACACATATTGAAACTGCAGAATGCCCACCCAGGTAGATGAGGGGGGTGGATTTGTAGATCTCTGCTGAATTGTTTAGAACTGAATTGCCTAAACCAAGAATTCCTAAATGAAGATCTAGTTTAGATTTTCATATTTGTTCTTCATAATAAAGTCATGATGATTTATTGTGGGCTTCAAAAATCTGCCAAGTGAAAAATACAGTGACATGTTTATAGAACCTTGTCAAGTCAATTTGCTCATATATTTCAGCTGCTTACTTAATTTTTGTAACTTCTTTTGAATGCTTCACAAGAGAACAAGTCATTTATCTTCAAATAAATATTCCATTTTTTTTGTTAGGTGATTTATTTTTCTGCTGGAACACTACAATGCAATCTTGGATCTGTCAACTGCTATCTTCATAAACCAGCAAATTTAAAACCAGCAGGTTTATGACTTAAGCAAGTTAGTTTCTTTTGCTTGAATTCAATAGTTGGGACAATTTTTTTTCATTAGCATCTTCTAATTTGTGGGAAAGCTATTCTTTTCTCTCCATCATATCAATGTTAGAGTCCTATGAATACTTATAGAGGAGGGAGAAATAGATCCTATTGAATTCATTGGGATTTGCATAGAAGACATGCAAAAGGATGCTCTCTCGGGTAACTTATTACCTCATACTAAAGAAGTGTACAATGTGTCATCATAAAAGGGCTTCTCTTCTTTGCTGTCTTAAGACTTTATTTAGAAGGGGGTGGCTTACTTTAATTGAAAGCGAGTTACTAAATTTTCAGAGCTCCAGCAGTTTGGAAATATTCCCCCATGATTGTGGTTTCTCAAGATATGAGGAACAAAGACATTGCTCTTGTCAATAGGAAATAGGACCCAAGAGAATGTTATGTAGCTTGTGTTATGTCTATGGAGATTCTCAATCAACCAGGTCATGATTGTCCCAAAGGTGCTTCTTTTTTTCCTTTTTCAAACAAAAAAACAAAAATGTCTGGTTGCCTTTTGTGAAAAAAAGAAAGCACCTTTGGGACAGCTACTATTATGATACAGAAATGATAAAATCAAGGTGAGTTTTGCTATCATGCATTGTGAGGACATGCTTATTTATTGTTTATTCTTGTAATAGAAAATTATTATTTTCTGCTTAGATTTCAGATAGCTCTTACATTTTGTTTTGTTTCATTTATATACTTATCCAGCAATCTTACCTGCAATTCCAAAATATTCAAAAACCAAATGCGTTAAAACATTTTAGAGATTGAAACAAAAATCCTATCATTATAGAGTGCACAATAATTAAAAACGATAGGAAAGTATCTGTGCCTTTAAGCTGTACTTGTTACACAGTTTATCTGAAATGGAACACTGCTTTATAAGAAGCTCGGATTACCTGATACCTTTCAGATGTTTTGGACTACAACCTTGTTACCCTACTCAGTACCGGCAATGTAACCTGAGGCCCATAGAAGATACCCTTTAACATAAATAGAGCATTGGGTACAAGGAACCTCCTATAGATCCATCAATAAAGCCAGACGGTCCCTCTTTCTCTTGACAGCCGTCGGACCACGTGGCCAACTCGACCCGGTCTCCTCCTCGATCAGGTCGCCCAAGATTAGCGCACGCGCTGTGTCAGTGGCGAGAGTCGCCGCTGCAGCGTTGGAACGAGCTTTCAGCACCGCGGAGCTGCGGACAGCGCCTTCCACCCGCCCTAGCTGCAGCCCCCAAGACGCCGCAAGCGCGGAAAGGGTGCCAAGGGCCATGGAGGGCGCGGCTGGCTCCCAGGCGCTGGCCCAGGCGACTGCCAGCCAGAGGGCAGAGGCAAAGCTCCCAGAAAAAGGGTCCTGCTCCTCCAGGTATGGCTCGAGTACTAGGCATGGGCTTTGCCTGCTAGGCAGTCAAGGAGGTGGTGGGTTTGCGCCCTCTCTTCCCTCGTCTCCCTTCCCTGGCGTCCGACTTTTCTTTCCAAGGTTTATCTTGTGCTTCCTTGCCATCCACTCCTTCCCTGCCACGCTGTCAATACCCAAGCTAGCCATTCATTTTCCAGACAATAGAGAGACATCTCCCTGGGGCAATGGAAAACGGTGGATTGGGGGAAGGGAATCTGTTGTTGTTGTTTTTGCCCCAGCAATCCAAGCATCCAACTGGTACAGCTTTCCTGTCGTGACACCCTCCCCTTCCCTCCCCCCCAACACACACACTTCACCTAACCAGACCACCTTTCCTTGAAAAGTTGTCATTGTGAGATACAGGGTAGGTAAGGAAAAGCAATAAAGAACATGCTGCCTTCTGCACAGCTGGGCAGTAAGGGCCACTGAGAGGGCCCTAAGATTGAGTACAGCTAATCCATGGCATGAGATCTCTTTCTTTTGCTCCATTCTGTGGGTGCAGAAGAATAGGCAGCTGCAGAAGGCTTTATCTAAAATGCATCCTATGCCCCTTTGGGAAGCCATATGCAAAGTAGCCTCCTCTTGAGCCAGCTAATGCCTAAGTGTATTTTCTTGCACTAGCAAATGAGTCCCTTTGCTAATGATCTACAGGGTGAAGCTTGCCTTCTTATCTTCAATTAACATGATATGATACATATATCCTTGAGATACATAACTGTTGTTTGTGTCAGGGAACACTTATCCTTATAATCCAGCAAACAAACAAAACAATGAGGTTCATGAAGCCTTCTGCTCTGGCACCACAAAGAAACAAGACAAATGTTTTTGCACATGCTTGTTAACTATTTAAAAGGTGGTGCCAAGGCAGGACTGGACAGGTTTTCTTTTCTCCTCTTTCCTTTTCCTCTTCCTCCTTTTCACCAGTCTAATTCAGTGTCTTTAATGGTGGTGGAAGAGAGAGAAGTGCAGATATTTGTAACAAGCAATAAAGAAAAATGGCATACTTAAAAGCCCAATTCTTTTCTTCTATAAGAAAAATGAGATATTGTTAGAAAAAATGATCCTACCAATAGTTCTAAAAGAAGAAAACAATGTGTGGATTTGAAAACATTTCTCGTTGGATCCCATTCATGCAGTAGTTTGTTGCTAACTAGGGAGGATTGTTATTTTCATAACCAATAAACATTCGTCCTAATAGCTGGGACAGTGTAAAATGTCAGTTTCCAATCTGCTATCTTCAAAGTGTCTTGGGGAAAAGTGCAAAAATTCCCAGCCAGTTTGGGTCGGGTTAATCTTGCTACAGTATTCTCAGCTGATTAATCATGTTACAACTAGGCATAATGGAGCCCTCAAAAGAGCCTCAAAGCCATTTTCCAACCTGGGTGGTTGTGAATTATTTCAACTAAAGCCACACAGTTAAGAAGACTTGGTGATTGTTTTATCATTATCTCAATAATTTGTTGGCCAAAGAAACGGGTAGTCTGCTTTATTGTCTTTTGCTCTTACCACTTCCAAACTGGATATTGCATTTTATTTTCTCCCAGTTTATAATCTAATGTTTAGAGTTTGGTGAAAGCCAATTTGGTGTAGTGCAGGGGTAGGCAACCTTGGCTCTTTTATGACTCGTGGACTTCAACTCCCAGAATTCCTAAGCCAGAAATTCTGGGAGTTGAAGTCCACGAGTCATAAAAGAGCCAAGGTTGCCTATCCCTGGTGTAGTGATTAAGGCATTGGGTTAAAAGTTACTCTGGTACAACCCAAAAGATTGTAAGCTGCCCCGAGTTAGGTAAGATGGGCGGTACATAAATTTTACAAATAAATAAAATAAAGGTTCCTTCCTCCATATACAGAAATGTGTTCAATAAACACAGTTGTTGTTGGATTGATACTTATTAGAAAGCACTTCAGGGCAAATATGAACAATCCATGGGGTCTCCATGTAACCCCACCTACCTTTTTGTGTGACCACCTTAGAAAAAACATGGAACAATTTTCTATTCTTTATTTTAAAAAAAGCAATAAAATGTGTGTTAAGTGTCCAACAAATTTTATCCTACCAATTTAACTTAGCCTTGCCCCCTCCAAATTCACTTAGTGATACCACTGTATCATCACCACCTGCGTTCTGGCTGGAAGCACTGAAAATGCTTCAGAAGCACTTCCTAAGCATTTCTACAATGTAGTTATGTCTCTACCCTAGCCTACTGCACATAATCATTATTGAGCCAGCCTCAAATGGTAGTACTGTTAGCTTGGTGTCCACCACACTCCTTTAATTTTTTTTTTTTTTTTTTTTTTTTTTTTGCATGCTTAATCACAACTTGCTTGAAGTTTGCCAGTTTGGTGTAGTTGTTAAAGTGCCTAGAAACCAGGAGATTGTATGTTCTGATCCCACTTTAGGCATGAAAGCCAGCTGGGTGACTTTGGGCCAGTCACTCTCTTTCAGCCCAACCCACCTCATAGGATTATTGTGGGGAAAATAAGTGGAGGAAGGAGTATTATGTATGTTCTCACCTTGAGTTGTTTATAAAACAATAAGGGTCAGAAAAAAAATTCTAATGAATAAAAATAAATAAATGAAGCTGGACAAAATTTGTCCTACTGATTAATATTTATCCACATACCAGCACTGAAATATTAAGAGGTTTCTGTGAAATGAGTTACTTTTTTACTCACAGAAGAATTTTGAAGAAGCATGTTCATAAGAGATGCATTAGACTGGGAAGGAGAGGAGCATCAGTCTTTAATATAGTAAAAATATGTTCTAGCTGACAGTATTACTATAATATTATGAATTAGATCTTATTATGCCTTTGGCTATTTCCAAATGTTGTAGCCTGGGATAATTTTGTATGCAGAAGACAAGCCAAATCAATTAGTCTTGGTCTTGGGAGCATTTTAAGTCTTGCCAGATATTGTGATGCAAATTTAGGAATTTCTCATTTCCTAAATTAAGAAATTTGCCATACTCACTTGAATATTGAAACCGCCCTTCTAGTACTAAATGGTTGGCTCAGTTGATTAACTTGATAATCTGGATTTTTTGGAAGATTTGAGATATCAAATAGCACCCCTGCTAGGAAAGCTGTGCCCCATCCTGATGACCAAGTGTTTAACTTTGTTGCCACCTCTGTCCATAAAATATTGTGGAAAGTTAACATACGGAAGGCAGCAGGCCCAGATAATATCCCTTGGTGAATTCTTAGGGAATGTACAGATGAGCTGGCTTGTGTTCTTACAGATATTTTCAATCTCTTATCGTAGCAGGCAATGGTCCCATAGTGTTTTAAGAGGGCCATTATTTTGCCAGTGCCAAAAAAGTCCACAGTCAATGACTACTGTCTGGTTGCATTGACATCCATCATTATGAAATGCTTTGAGAGGACATTATTGTATCTAGCCTCCTGCCAGCATTTGACCCGCTTCAGTTTACTTACCAACCAAATGGCTCTACAGAGGATGATATTTCTTCTGTTCTCCATCTGAGCCTGGAGCACATAGAGGAAAGAAATACTCATGTGTGTATGCTGTTTGTCAACTTCAGTTCAGCATTTAATACAATCATTCTCCAGTATATAGTAGACAAACTGGGCCTTTTAGGCTTAAACACTCCCTTGTACAACTGGATTCTTGATTTTCTCACTGACAGGCCCAGTATGTGCAAGCTGGAACAAATATTTGTAACACCATTTTCTTGAACACAGGTTCTCCCCAGGGCTGCATCCTAAGTCTGCTGCTGTTCACCCTGTTGACCCATGACTGTTATGCTAGATTTGCCACCAATCATATTGTGAAGTATGTGGACGATACTACAGTAGTGGGCCTTATTCAAGATGACAATGAGGGTGCTTACCACAAGGAGATTGAGAGTTTGGTGAACTAGTGTAAGAAAAGCAGCCTGGTTTTAAACATTGGTAAACCAAAAAGATCGTCGATTTCAGAAAAGGCAGGAGCAGCGAAACACCTCTTTGTATTAATGATTCACCTGTGGAGATGGTTTCCAGCATCAAATTTCTGGGTGTGCAGCTAATGAGTAGGCTGGCTTGGTCACTCAACAGCGAGACACTAGTAAAACAAGCACAGGAGCGCCTGCATTTTCTGCATCACATGAGAAAAGTATATCTTCCTTCCCCTGTCCTTACCACTTTCTATAGAGGGATGATTGGGAGCATCGTGTTATACAGCATTACAGTCTGTTTTGAAAGCATCACTGCTTCAGACAGGAAGATAGTACAGAGAGTGGTGAGGATGGCAGAAAAGATTATTGGCATTTCCCTCCCTTCCATCCAGGACATAGCATATAAGCACTGCTTGAACAGTGTCTGGGACACTACACATCCTCTTCATGACCTGTTTTCCTTGTTAGCTTCTGGGACGAAGCTTCGTGGTATCCAAAGCAGAACATCCAGATTCAGTCACAGTTTTGTTCCATACAATATTAACCTTGTGAACTCTAAAGCTTCCTCTTTCCACTTTGTATTCAAGATGGACAGGGATTAATATTTATATGTTATTTCTATGTAAGGGTGTAGGTTTATAAATATATTGTATATAGCATGTTTAAATGTGTGTTATGTATGATGAGAGCAAGCAACAAAATTTCATTTTTAATGTGAGCCAATATTCCCACAGTAAAAAATTCCCACCAGCTCAAGGTTGACTCAGCCTTCCATCCTTCCAAGGTCGGTAAAATGAGGACCCAGATGGTTGGCGGCAAGATACTGACTCTGTAAAAGTCTTAGAGAGGGCTTAGAGACTTAGAGAAGGCTGTAAAGCACTATGAAGTGGATATAAGTCTAAGTGCTATAACTATGGCTATGGGAAATCTATCTCTGCCATTTAAGAAAGAGCTAAAGGACTGTAGCCTTGCCCTTGGAAACATGCCTTAAGAAATTCTGCAGAGTTTCTAGGTATCTTTCATGATTTTAAAACATCTATACATGAAACTAGAGGTGCTTTGAAATGATGTGTTATTTATGTTCAGCTTTATTTCCCCTATTAATAAAAATGGTTGCTTTGGTAGGAACCCTAAGCAAGAATAGACTGAATGTAAATCTAGTCCAAACAAGACAGAGATGCTCATTGTGGGAGGCTAACAATCCTGTAAAATGCTGTTTTCACACTTTCTTTTTTCATTATCTTTGAAGGTTCATATATATGATTTGAGGATGCATATGGATATGGCACTGCTACTGGTTCGGAAAAAAAAATCATCTTAAAAGTTCCTTTCACTGGCAGGTTGATGCAACAGCTACAACTGTTCTTAGCAAATTTTGAACTAACTGCCACAAAATAAGCATGAACAATGTCTAGGCTTGACAATTACAGCATGTTTGATCTGTCTTTAAATACCGTTCAAAAATTTCAATTAATTCATACAATGACAGCCTGCAGGCTTGAATCAATGCAAATATTTAGAGGAGTGTATTGAAAAATTAGCATTGCTTCTCATTTGGTTTCAGGCAGCCTTCTTCCAGTATATTAGCTTTTGAATGAGCTACTAAAATCTTCAAAGGAAATCCTGCACTGACCTTTTTCTGAAATTGGGGGGACTGATGGAAATGGAGAGAAAAGCTCAACAGATTACACATGAAAAGTCATTCTGGGGAAGTTGGAGGCTGTATTATATATATTTTATTAGCTTTTGAACTCTTTCAATATTTTATACAGGTATATTGTATGAATGCCAAGCAATCCCTAGCATTACAACTGACTATTGGCATATCCCAGGGGTAGGCAACCTTGGCTCTTTTATGACTCGTGGACTTCAACTCCCAAAATTCCTGAGCCAGCATGGGGAGTTGAAGTCCACAAGTCATAAAAGAGCCAAGGTTGCCTACCTCTGGCATATACTGAACTTGAATTGGGGTAAAAGAGCAAACTGTAGATGATTTCCACAGTTCTGCAATTCTTGCTATTTATGTTTTACCATATGCATCTCTCCCCCCACCCTTCAGTACTATTTCCTTTTTCCTCGTTCTCTTTCTCAGAATATTTTTGGTTTCTGATACAAACAGAGAGTTTTTCTGCTTAGGAAAATGAGAGGGGACACAAATCAAGAAAAGCAGCTGCATTGCCAAAGTCGAGTTGTTGTCCCCCATTTTTTCTTCTGTGTTGTCTGCTTTGTTGACTCTCATCTTTGTTTCATGGCCACAACCAGCCGGGCAAGGCAAACAAAGCTGGGAGACCAACATTTGAAAGCTGCTGCTGTTGTCACTGTGCTATGATTGGGGGAACATGTCAGCTCACACTTCAGCATCAACCTTATTATTACAGAGCTATAATAAACTTCACTGTCCATTGAGTTCTTTTGTTGTTGTTGTTGCTCATTGTGATAGGTCATTATCGACAAATCAATGGTTAACTTAAATATGACAATCTGAGAGGGTAAGGGAGGCAGTTGTTTTCCTTGGTTAAGTGGAAGTTGCATACGTTAAAAAGCCATCCTAAAAATGACACCCAAAGGAAAGAATATATAGATTGCCTCTGGTAAATTAGTCCTAACAGCATTACTAATTTATGAACTAAAAAGAAAATGTTAATCCTTTTAGTGTGCAGTTTAAAAATGGGTTTGAACTTTCCCTAAAGATATAAGAACATCGTTGGCCAACTGTTTGCTCAGAGATAAGTCATATAAAGTGTCAAAGCTTTTTAGCATTTTCCCACTTCACTAATTGGTCTGCCCTTATTTTAGTTTAAAAACATGAAGTTGAATGTAATTTGAGATCATTATAAGAATCCCCCCCCCAAATTTTAATCTATGCATCATTGCATCAATCTGTTTTATGACTCTATACACAAAATGGCATTTTAGCCACCAGGTCGTAGTTCATGAGAAGAACAGAAAAGACATGTGATGTCAATCAGCAGATGAAAGATGAGATGATGGCATTTACATGTAACCCAAATAAAGATATTGATCTACAAGGGTCAAATAAAAAGTAATTTTAGTTTAAATAAGGATATCTTAATAAATGAAACAGGAAATCAATCCTTGAAATGAGTTCTGTTATACTGTAACACTGTTATTTACTCCTCCACACCATACTATTTGTTACACACTTCTGTCAGCAATGGAAAACTGCTTAAAGCCATCATGAAATTTGTCTCTTTAACCCACCTCTGGCATTCCTTTCTGCCTTAGTATTTGAGTCAAACAGGTGCCATGAAGGCATTCTTTCAGTTGAGGGAAAAGATAAAGTTGCATGACAACAAGTCTGGACTGAATGGTAGATGAAGTAAGATGGTGAGATCCAATTCTGCAATTACCTCTTAGGTGGATTGTGAAATATGAGCCCAGTGTTGTTAGTAAAAATCCTATTCTTATGTTTGCAAACTCTGCTTAATCAATGTTTCAAAGATTTGTGTGTTGCAATCTCATGTTCTGAACTGATAGCAGTTCAGGTTCAAAGAAATCCATTTGAATAATGTCAGCTGCACCCCATTAATCTGTAACCCTTATTTTCTTCCTAAGTCTGGCTTTTGATATATATATTTTTTTGCCTGCAGGTGAAGCTTTATGATGATATTTCATGGACAGATCAGTTGTCAAGATGCTGTGAATAAATCTCTCACTTTAATTCTATTAGCATGACAATAATTGCCGGAAAATGTCAACTCTTTTTTTTTTTACAGTTTTATCAAATTTCAAAAAAAGTATAAAATACAAAGAATAAGAAAAAAGGAAAAAAGAAAAAGGGGAGAAAAAAGGGGGGAAACAAAATTATGGTCTACAACAAGGAAAAGGAAAATATAGAAAAATATAACTTCCACATTTCTTTGGTACTGATGCAAATTTCAATTCTTGAAGCTTTCATTTCTGCCATCAGCATGTGAGGAACCCATCAGGCATGTTCCTTCTAATATTTAAAAACATCAATAATGTAATGCACACATTCCAGCGAAATGCAATTGACGGTAATTTCCCTTTGAATAATCCACCTGTTGCCCTTAATCACTTCATCAATACGTCTCATGTGAAATTATTGGTTGTTGTCCTGGGCTATCCACTTCATTCTTGATCACACAAATTAGCTCATCCACTTTGCCAATTTTGTATATTTTGTAAAGCAGTGCACAGTGCAGGTAGTCCTCGACCACAATTAAGCCCAAAATTTATGTTGCTAAGCAAAACATTTGTTAAGTGAGCTTTGCCCCATTTTACTGCTTTTCTTGCCACAATTGCTAAGTGAATCATTGAATTGAGTAAATTAGTAACCTGGTTGTTAAGTGAGTCTGGATTCCCCACTGACTTTGCTTGTCAGAAGGTCACAAAATTTGATCACATGATCCCGGGACACTGCGACAGTCATAAATATGAACCACTTGTCAAGCATTTGAATTCTGATCATGTGACCATGGAGAAGCTGTAACAGTTGTTAAGTGTGAAAAATGGTCAGAAGTCACTTTTTTCAGTGCTGTTGTAACTTTGAACGGTAACTAAACAAACTGTTGTAAGTCAAGGACTACCTGTACTCACATCAATAGTCATCACCATAATCAACCTGAATCAATCATGTTGCATTGCTTAAAGTGCATCAACAAGTAGATTTCTGTTTCACAAACAATAGCAGCACAAACTTTCTCACAGCAACTTTCTACCCACTAGACGCAGGGGGTAGGCAACCTTGGCTCTTTTATGACTTGTGGACTTCTACTCCCAGAATTCCTGAGCTAGCCATGCTGGCTCAGGAATTCTGGGAGTTGAAGTCCATGAGTCATAAAAGAGCCAAGGTTGCCTACCCCTAAGTGAAAGAACAGTGCCAAAGAACACTTCTGACCCGTTGGCACATCAGTGCTGCCATCAGTTGGCACTTAGAATATCAGAGGTATTACGTTTCAATCAACCCTCCTAGATCATCTTTCTTCAGAAAACAGTTTGTTTTCATTAATGACTCTTCCACTAATTATCACCATTATTGTATGCTTTCCTTCCAGGAGCTCAAAAGTAGCTATCAAAAATACTGGTTAAACTTATTGCGTGTGTTCATTTCCTCTTCCAGTTTAAAGAAATTACAGGAGTAAAATAAATGTTTTTGATGTGGCTACTTGAAAAATCTATAAACTGAGCTCATTTGACTCATTTGTTTGTCTGGATTCGCATCGAAGTATTGAGAACATCGGTTTGTGAGGGATAAAATTTGCTAATTATTTTGATTATCTCATAAGATGAGAGGTGCCTGCAGAATCGAGAAGTCACAACAAATCTGGCCTGGGCAGGGGAATGGGACTTGCTTCTTCATTACCCCATCTCATCTCTTCCAATCTGGATGCTAGAGTATTATTGCGTTCTTCTGTTCCACCACTGAGGGGAAGAATAGAGTCAAAGGAGAAGCACTACTAAGGCTGAAACCCTATTCTTCAGTCAGTCCATCTGAGGAGCAAAGCATTTAGTCAGGAACCCTGCTGCCTGCATAATGCAAGTGTAAAAGATATATTGGTGGAACACGTCTTGATGGCATTATGCTAATTATGGAAGATGCAAGTTTGTTCCCTCAGTGTTTACACAGGTCATGACAAGTTTTATTTTCACTTAAGGGACAGTGTCGTGTTATATATTGTGCATCATAATTTATTTCATTTTACTACATTTTGTGGGAAAAGTAAATAGAAACAGAAAGGAAACATGCAAAGTTAAAATTTTCTCTTTTTTTGCAGAGAAAAAGCAAACCCAGAGCTTGGTCAAGCCTGTCTTAATGTACCAGAGATCAGGAAGGCCGAGTCAAGCCCCAGCGGAACTTCCTGGGGAAGGAGATGCCCAGTCCATCACTGTCTACTCAATGCTTCTCCCAGCACAGTGAGGTACCACCAGCCCGGTTCCAGTCATAAGCTTGCACCCATCTCCACTCGGTCCAATGGCCAGGTGCCATCTGGCTCTCAGGACTCCTTCCAGCCTCACCTGTATTATCATTGCAACCACCAAGAAGCCACCAGAAACAGCTATGCCTTGCCCCCTCTGCCAGGACACGGGGACCGAGCTACTCTGTGCTCCTATCGCTCCAGCGGGGATTCATTATCAACTCCCAGACATGAGACTACTGAGAGTAGATGGAAGCAATGGCCACATGACCAGCAGCACGTACGGCCAGTGCAACACCATGTTGTAACAGTCAGGTAAGAACTACATACTCTGGCAGCTTAGCATGTCTGTATAGAGTGATGGGCCTTGTGGAAGGCATCTGTTCTCCCTTATGCAAGAAGGCCTGTCTGGTAGATAGCTGCATAAAAGATAAGAATCAAAGAAGGGGAAGGAAGGTCAGGCTGTCCATTCATGGGTAGTACTGTACAGTAGGAACACATGTCACCTACTCACTATCTTCCCATTATGATGAGTTCTACATTATTTCTAATGAAATCACAATTGGCATGTATATATGTGTATACAGCCATTTCATTTATTCTTTGATTTTTGGGGGGGGAGGAACAGATGATGCATTTCTTTCTAAGACAGCCGTTCCACATCTATCCTGATTTTAAATGCTCTTCATTAGTAGCTTAATTTTAGAGCGTTACTTTACACTCAATGCCATTTAATTTTTTGAGATTTTGGATGTTGGTACCTGTTCAAATAGCTGATAAGCAATCTGAGTAAATATAGTGAAGATATTCTCATTTCCTTTGGAGATTAGGATTGGATATGATTCCTTAGCAAACTAAATTCAGTAGCAAGTATGAACATGACACTATAAAAGGTATGAAAAAACCCTCAGTATACAAGATGGTTTGTAGGTTGGCCTTATTTTCATTTAATAACCTTCCCTTCATTAATTTCTCATTGGACCATACCTAATGACAACAGACATTTTATTTTTACCCAACAGCAACATTAGTAGCTGAGGTTTAATGATCCTCTTCTTGGCATCAGGCCAGCCTAAGGGTTGTTTGTTGTGTTATTTTGAAGCATTAGTGCACCCCTGGGAACTAAGTCTAGCTTTAAACCTCAATGTACCATAAATCAATACATCTGCCTTTTCCAATGGGTTTTGCAGTTTTATTCCTTCTGTATTTTCACTACATAGAAAGTTCTTAAAGATTATACTTTTATAAAGTTTTAAAAGCAGAAACAAATTCTGGGATATTTATTTTAATCTTTAGAATGCTATAATGATATATGGCTAATATAGGCTTTCCTCCCGACTGGGCAAGCAATCTGCTTTTATTTTAGAATAAATTGGATGGAGAGATTGAGAAAATAAGTTATTTCTCTTGACAAAATTCTAATGAAAAAATTCCTAATTTAAAAGTAATTTCCAACATTCTCAGTTTTGGATCCTGCATGCTGGTGTTTTTAACATAGGTACAAATGTCAAGCTGGAAAGTTGGTATTTATCTTTTTTGTATTTTAAAATATTTTTATGTCATCAATATTACTGAGCATTATTGCTTTAACATTAAGGAAACTGGTAAATCCAGTTTTTCACTAGTTTCTTGGCTGTTTCCTAGCATGTTCTGTTATGTTTGTATAGTCTCATATACATTCATCCTCCTGCTCCCCATAAGCTCTCCTATTTCAAGGAGTATGGGCAACTATGAAGGGCATTGTCCATAAAGGAATGGTTTGTGTGCTAGAGAAGTGATGGATTTTAACTTCCACCCTATGCAGCCATCACATCCCCTTACTGATGTAGAATGATAGGAGCTGCTAGGCACCAAGTTGGGAAAAGCTGCTTTCATTGGAAATACTTGTGTTTATATTTCAGAAGCAGTATTTGAGCACTTGATTCATAAATTAATCAACTGTTGAATCAACCAATTCAGTAAACCCGATATCTAAAAAGGTGCCTACATTTTAATGGGTATCATGTTTCACTTCCATTCTATCATAAAAAGTCATGTCAATATTATGGCAATAGTAGAGCTTTCAAATTCTTTGAACTTTCTATTCATGCCTGGCTCTTGGTAGAGTAGAGGTCTTGGCAGCGCAGACTTCTTAATCTGGACATTCTTTGTACTTTTCTTGATCTATATTCTATAAGGAACAAGAGCTTGGCATAAGGAGACAAGGTATTATGAAAGAAGGCATTGTATCCTTTTTCTGAGGAGCAATAAAAGAGTTGATATTTTGCCTTCTTTCTCGTCTCCATCAGAGGTACGTTATTGTCTATGGCCGGCTTTGGGCAACTGCAAGTCAAATCTCAATTTGAAAAGTCTTATAAAGTATTGCCTTAGGAGAGATGGCATCCCAGCAGCCTTGACCTCTCAAATGTATAGAACAGAAAGAAATCCTTGAAAAGATCCTTAACACTAAACTCCAAATTTACAACAAAATTTAACACCACCGAAATTGTATCTCTAAGGTCAACCAAGGTTTAGAAATGAGTGTTTTATCTCCAAAGAAAGTCCTAATGGAGTTTGAAAATCTAAATAAACTTTTTAACTAAGATAGAGCCATTTGTGAAATTCAACATAAATATGAGGAAAATTATATATGAATTGTCTTTATTTAGCATGACTTTGAATTTAACACAGAAAGGAAAATAAAAAGAGGAAAAGGGAATCAAGCTATTCTCCAAAGCACCTGAAGGCAGGACAAGAAACAACGGGTAGAAACTAATCAAGGAGAGAAGCAACCTAGAACTAAGGAGAAACTTCCTAACAGTGAGAACAATTAGTCAGTGGAACAGCCTGCCTCCAGAAGCAGTAAATGCTCCAACACTGGAAGTTTTTAAGAAGAGACTGGATAGCCATTTGTCCGAAATGGTGTAGGGTTTCCTGCCTGAGCAGGGGGTTGGACTAGATGACCTCCAAGGTCCCTTCCAACTTTACTACTATTACTATTACTATTCCTCACTCACTAGCTTTGTTTTTGGTCTATAATCTTCACCTTAAACCCACAAATACCAATTTGAGAAACACTGGTGATTTAAGACACGCAGTTACTGATCAGATGAATACATTTCACTCTTGATTCAAATAAACAATCAAAGTAAAGATGCTGCCCATTAGGGCTTGTTGCCTGTGCTACATCATGGAATTTTGACTTTGCATTTTTCTTGCTCACAAGGCTAAATGGTCAAATCAATAAAGAACTTTGCCTGGCATGAAATTAATAAGCCAATGATTATCTTTCTCCCTACAGACATGACAAAGTGTTCAGGATGCCAAAGAGGTAGGTTAAAATCCATTATTTCCTGCCCTTCTATTATTTCACACTTTCTTCCTTCAATCCAGTTATTTAGAATGAGCCAAAATATTACTCTTACATCATTCCAGGCAAGAGCAAAAGCATGCAGTTAAATTAAGAGTTCATGGGTCTCATTAAAAAGCTTCCCACTTGTTTGGATTCCACTTTGTGATGGACGTGCTTTGCTTTCCTAAAATTGTACTTATCCAAATAGTTAGATCGTGGTTTGGGCTTGGCCAGCTGCTTCTTTTTGGATCTGGGTTACAGAACTTATAAAGCAAGCCCTTGCATTTTGGAGAAGCAATCTGTTATGGAGTGTAACTCCCATGTATTTAGAATATTAGTTTAAGAACAATTTCACATATTTATTCTAGAATCAGTCCTGATGTTGCATATGGCATTTATTTCTTGATGGGTTGCTTGCATGCATAGTGCTTTGTTTGTTGTTACTACTTGTTTCTATAGTACCATAGCTCAGTGTATCTCATCATCAGCAACTTTTAAGATGTGTAGAGAAAGGGAACTGTGAAATTCTGGGATCTGAAGTCCACAAATCTTAAAGTTGCTGAGCTTGAGAAATACTGTCATAGCTTGGCCCTCTTTCTCCATTATTCATCCACCATGATAATAAGTATTCCTGGAATCATTTATGGTTTCCTCAGAATTTGGAAATGGGAGAGGGGTTATACAGTCACCTTGCACTGGCTGGGTTACATGTGGGATTTTTTCCCCCAGTTTATTCTGTCTAAAGCAGATAAGAAGACTGCAAAAATCAGGCCTACAAGCAGGCAAATTAGAAGTATGCCTCCACAATATATCCAGTCATTCTACTTCATTTAATTAATATTTTCCTTATTTCTGTGTTCTATTGCTTGTGTTTCCAGAATGTTGAATTCCAATATTGCATAATCATTTCCCCCCAAGGTTTCTGTGGCTTCAACACCTTCTATCATTTCATCTCAAACCATCTTACTTCAAAATATAAGTGTGTGGAATCTTGGAATGTTCCCTAATAGTGTAAACAAAAGCACACACCAAAAAAATCCTCATAGGACTTCAATACATTGGAAATTGTAACTAGATGCCAATCTCCACTACTGTCCATTTGAAGTGCCTGAAGACATCTGGTTGACTATTGTGTGGGAAAGTACTGGAAGAAATGGCCCCTAGCCTGATCTAAGGGTTTATGTGGTGGGCAGGAGATGCCAGCAATTCTGAAATTTGGAGGGAAAAGAACCACCTATATGTGGAATCTTTACAACAAAATAAGGATGTTCCCCAAATTTGGTAAAAGACTATATCAAAGGCAATGGTGGGATTCAAATATGTGAACAACCAGTTCTCTGTGTGGATGCCACTTCCGGAAGTCCATTCAGGGCCTGGGCAACAAAAAATTAGCTACCGGTTCTACCGAAGTGGTACAAACTGGCTCAATCCCACCATTGATCAAAGGAAGGAAACATGAGAGATTAGGGTTATATTTTCACAATGCTTTTGCTTGTTTGCCTTTGGAAGACTAGACATCCATTACATTTTGCATGATAGCTTAGTACAATTTTCTTTGATCAACTGGACAGTGTGCTACAATATAGCTCCTATCTTGTAGTTAAGTAAAGATAACAGATACTTGTGTGAGGGGGCAAATATGGCCAATAGCACCATCTATTCTCTTTCCAGAGAAGTCATCAAATGACATCACTGGATTATTTTGAAAACCCATCTATTTGTTTTGTCTGTTTACATTTCTATCCTGTGACAGATCATAAAATCAAATAAAATGGAATAGAAAAAGAAAGAAAAAGTAGTTGCTTGAGTTTTTATTTTGTTTTATTGCTTCTTTCTTAGTTTATCCCAAGTGATTGCTGAGTGGCCAATTGCTGTTTTAGTGTTCTGTTCGGTGACTGTGTTGATCTGTACTTTGGTGGGCCTATTACTAGGAAATGTGCCAGATTTTTCTGAGCCCTTGTTGGTAAGTTCATACTGATTGCATGACTTGGAATTTATTTGTGATTTCAAAGAGCCATGCCAAATTTGATGCTTCCCAAACTACAACTGAACTACCTTTTTACAGGGTTGGGAGATGGTGGGAATATTAGTCTTTGAGGGGTCTACAATTTGAGGGTTATTATTTTAAAAGTTTGCTATCTTCTCCGCACCCAATAGCATGTAGAAGTAAATTTCAGGATGATACTGCATTTCACCATACTTTCTCAGAAACTTGATTTTAATGATTTTTGAATGCTTTAAGAACCTCTAAGCTGAAATGTTAAGGGAAGGGCTACATAGTTTGGTACTTTATATACAAAGAAGCTAAACTCTATTGCCAGATAGAACTGAAAGAATATTTGAAAGCTTTCAGTCAGATTAATTAATACTGAACTAGATTCACAGTGCTTAACTTCTTAGGTTCTTGTTTATTGTTAGCTACTTCATCCACTTTTTTCCTCTTCCTATAGCGTACCAGTAAGAATGTTTGGGGAAAAAAAGCTAGAGACTAACCTTTAAAGTATTGTTTTTAAATTCTGCCCTTTTAGATGGTTAGAAATAATTAAATTATAGGTCCTTTCTAACATTCTGGGATAAATTACGGGCTTTTCTAAAATGTGAATGGGTCCATTATATATTTGGCAAACAGGGTTCTTAAAGATTCCTTGCAAGGCAGCATCAACACAAAAGGTAGTCAAAAAAAGTAAATGGACTCATTCACATATTACAAAAGGTGTCAAAACAGACAAGATGGAAGTTGGGCAACGCAGTTTAAGTCCCGCCCATATTTACCCACATAGAACAGGGACTGGCTTGGATTGTGTCACCATGACTGCCATCTTCCATGTTTTGAACCCTTCTCCTGTAGATGCCAATCTTCTTGCCTAAGGTTCACCTGAATGAATGAGAGTTACATGGTCCGAAATGAAAGAATTTGAGGTTATTCAAAACTTTTAATAATAACAAGAATGTCTAAAGACCCTCTGAAAATCTTGTTTAGAGTGAAATAGACCATCCTCATGACTTTGGGATCATAAGGCTTTTTTTTTAAAAAAAAAACTGATTTGGACATGTACCAAAATACCTGTTGTAGCTGATAAAATATCACACTTTTTAAAAGTATATTTTAATGTCTTTTTAAATCTTCCTTTCTTTGTTATAAATAGGGTTTTGAACCACGAAACACAGAGATTGGCAGAAAGCTCACAGTTTGGAAGAATATGAAAAGCCAAACAGGCTATAAAAAGATGCTTTCCCTTTCTCCCTTCATTGACAACAGGTTGCTGATATTATTGTTGTTGTTGTTGTTATTTCAGGTGACAATAACATAATGACATGCATTGAAATATGAGAAAAAGGTTTTCCCTCTTGCCCCATCTCTATGAATTATTTTTTGCATCCTGCTTCAACAGTCTTAAGATCGTTGCCTGAGATTTCTGTGGCCATTAAATGAATGCAGACTTGATTTTGATGGATAGGATTTTGGAGTTTGAAAGACATAGATATCATTCCTTGAGAGACAGATGCAAAATATATATTGTTGTTGATGATGATCATGACTGCAGGAAGCATGGATTAAGGATCACACATTTTTTTATGTAAGTGGTTGCTACTAATAAGCACCACTGAGCCCTTGAATTGTTTCCCTTTGTCAAATGGAATTTGTGATTTGAAAACTCTGTCTAGAATTGCTTGCCAATAGTGGGTGCCATCTTTCAAACTTGCTGAAAGTTTCTAAGCCCCATATCTGCATTTGAGAATGTCTGTAATTATAAGGAGAGGGTTGAATCCCAAGAGATAAATGACCCTGGTGAGTATGGCTTCAATATGCTGAAAGTGTGGCAGGAAAGGATATTCTTAGTGAGAGAAAATGCTGTGTGTTCATCCCCTGACTTAGTATTTTAAGGCATAGAATTCTCTTTTGCTATGAATTCATTTATTAAGTTTTAGTTATATTGATTTACTTTTCTGTGACTACCCACATCTATCATGACAACCATGCATGAATGAGCATCCCTATGGTAGCCAGTTTTTGATGATCCCAACTTAAAACTATTGGTCTCATTTGCAAAACAGATGCTCAAATGTCAGACAAGCCAATGGTTATCGAATATTTTCTATCACATTATTGCATAATAAGGCAGATATATTCAGCTATCAGAAATGGAATATAAAATCCTAATAGATAATTTCCTAATTACATTTTTATCATAGCACCATCAATATATATCAATTCATGACACTTCCACACTCCAGATGGAGCATGTAGTTCCATATCAATTTTCATTTTAGTTAAGACATGGAAGACAACAAACATTAAACAAAAATTGATCATGCAGGAGAAAAGGCTTAGTATTTCTTTTTTTTTCAATTAGATTAGAATTAATATGCTCACTAGTAATGGAGTCCAGTGTGGGGGTGAGTGAGAGGAGCTTTTCTTCCCATTTAAAGGGACTTTGCTGCATGATAGAAATAATTTTTATTTTGATTGTGCTGGAAACTATGACTATCTATTCAGTGTATTCTAAGAGAGGATTGTTGCCCCCAGATATACCCTGAAATTAATTAATTGAAATAAAAATGAGATACATAATGGCAATCTACGTATCTATATATTCCAAACCAGGGATATCATTGGAATCAGAATAGGAAAGCTTTATCTTCCATCTCTGTGTAATGAAATTATGTCAATCAGCTGAGCAGATTCAGAAAAAAATGCTCAGTTCCAGAGTTTCCTAAAGATAGACTTATTTATTTTGTTAGCTTTGGAGATCTGGGCATCAACAAAGGGCAGAGATCTTTACAAGGAGAACGAGAAGCAAGAATAAGGAGGATGGTGGAGCCAGACTACGAAAAAGATGGCTTCTTCTGTAGTCCTCCAGGTAAGATTAATTTGAAATGAGACTTCAGAATACAAAACAGCAAGAATGGCGACATTTTACTAAAATAATCCTGGCAATGAAATATGCCATTTTGGCCACTATGCTAACACACACAAACAACCGACTAGTCTATATAGAAATTCAAGGTAAAGCATTCCCAACAGATGGCTGACCATTCTCTGCTTAAACACATTCTGTGAAGGAGAGCTGGACACTTTCCTCAGGAACCAATTCTGCTACTGAACTCTTCCTCTTCAGATAGTGGACGTGGCAGTGCCTGGAGACAGCAAAATAGACAAGAAAGAACTGGAGAAGATAACAAAATATAAAGACCTACAAATAGAAATAGAACAACTGCGGCAAAGGCAAACAAGGGTAGTACCAATAGTAATAGGTGCCTTAGGTGCAATCCCAAAACAACTGGAGCACCATTTGAACGCCATTGGCATTGACAAATTCACCATTAGTCAGTTGCAAAAGGCAGTCTTACTAGGAACTGCTTCCATCCTGCAACGATATCTGTAATACTATCAAACATCCACATCTGCCTATCCCAGATCCTTGGTAAGGACTCATTAGGTAGACAAAAATGTCAAATCCAGTCTGAACATCTGGCTGACTGTGCAATGATCAATCATCATCATTATCATCATCATCATCACCATAGGGTAATGGAAAGGACTCAATAGTTGGATAAAAATGCCAAATCTGGTCTAAGCATCTGGCTGACTGTGCGACCAACAATAATAATAATATTGGCACATTGCATACCATAACACAAAATCTTAGACAGTGCTTAGAAAATGTATCCATTGACAAAATTTCTATCTGTCAAGAGCAAAAGGCAACATTGCTTGGATCCACACATATATTACGTTGACATATTACAACATCTTAGGCTCTTGGGAAAAACTCAATGGGTATGAAAGCCAAGATCATTTAACAATCTGGCATCTGTGATTTCATATTGTTGTGTGTAACAGTAATAATTCTAGTTGCACAGGACCAAAGCTTTAAGAACAAGCACATACAAAGCCAGAATTGAGCAACAAAAAGCAAATACAGACTCAGCAAAGAAGCTGATAAAAAACAGTGGATCACCTGGTTAGCTACTGCAGAAAGATCACACAGACTGACTACAAACAATGGCATGACAAAGAAGCAACAGTGGTGCATTGGAACATTTGAAAGAAGTACCATTTGTCTGTAAGCAAGAAGTGGTGGGAACATAAATAGACAAAGAAGCTAAAGTGCTCAGGAATTTTAGAATACAAATAGACAAACATTTGCTACATAAAACCCAGACTTAACAACTGTCAATAAGAAAGACAAAAAAAGTTTGCACAGTGAACACTGCAGTATTTGGAGACAACAGAAGAGAAGAGAAAGAACTGAAGAAAATCACAACATACTGTTAGAAGTAAAGTCTTCATCCTGGTTCATCCAAGCCAGGAATAAATAAGCAAACATGGCGACTGCTTTGGGAAGAAGGTTACAGTTTATTGCAGAGAGATGGTTCTTCAGGAAAGTGCAGAGGAGAGAAGGGCTGAGCACATGGTGTAGTAGGTTATTATACCCCCTCTAGCCTTTTGTTTGGAATAGTTTCCTGTTCCTATGGCATGAACCTTGAGGTTGTTTCTGAGTGTTTGTCTAGGCCTTGATATCTGTGGTTTAATTCTATTATCATATCCTGCTTCCTAGGTGATGGGGCTGACTCCTAGAGTTTGTGTGGGGTATTCAGATCTTCTCTTTTGTCTTCTTGATTGTTCTGGCTCCAACGTTCTGATGGTTTTACATCTGCATTTGTATGGGCCTAGCTCTTGCTTGGGGCAGAGAGATAGATTTGGGGCCAGGTTTGGTTTTAAAAAGTCCTTTTGAGGAAAAATATATTTTTCTGTCCTTTTTAATATTTCTTTCTCTGTGCTAACTTCCTTCAATACAAAGAGCTGAGAATAGAAGTAGAATGGCTGTAGCAAAAGAAAGCAAAGATAGTATCAGTATTAATAGGCACTCCCAAAACATCTGGAGCACCACTTGAACATCAACATTGACAGAATCACCATCAGTCAATTGTGAAGGCAGCTTCACATGGCACAGCTTACATTCTGCGAGAATACTTTTAACACCATCAAATAACGTCTGTTTATCCTAGGTCTTTAGGAAGGACTTGATATGTGGATAAAAATGCCAAATCCAGCCAAATATATGGCTGATTATGCAACCAACCATAATAGTAATAAGCAGACAACTTTTCTTCCAGTAGTCCTGTAGTTTCTGGCTCTTGAATGCTCGTCCCACAGTCCTGATAGAAATGCTAAATCCATTCTAAACATCTGGCTGAATTTGTAACCAACATAATAAATAGAATATGGCAAAAGAAAGCAAAAGTACTATAATACTACCAATAGTAATAGGTGCCTTTGATGCAATTCCAAAACATTTGGAACACCAATAGAACACTATCAGCATTGACAAAAGCACCATCAGTCAATTGCAAAAGGCAGCTTTATTTGGAATAACATACATCCTACAACAATCTATTTAATATTATTAAGCAACAACATCTGCCTATCCCAGATCCTTGGAAAAGATTCAATAGGTAGACAAAAATGCAAAATTCAGGCTAAACATCCATCTGACTGTGCAAACAACATAATAATAAAAAATCAATATGATGCTCAATTCTTAAGGGAGGTAAAGAGTAGTTCAGAACAATGATAAAATTTATTTTTCAATTGTTCACAAAAGAGCCTATAGCATTGTTGTTGTTGTTGTTATTGATTATCACACAGAAGCCAGATGTTCAGACTGGGTTTGGCATTTTTGTCTACCTATTGAGTCCTTATCAAGGACCTAGGATAGGCAGATGTGGATATTTGATGGTGTTGCAGATATCATTGCAGGATGGAAGCTGTTCCCAGTAAGGCTGCCTTTTGCAATTGACTGATGGAGAATTTGTCAATGCCAATGGTGTTCAAGTAGTACTGCAGTTTTTTGGGATTGCACCCAAGGCATCTATTACTATTGGTACTACCCTTGGTTGCCTTTGCCACAGTCATTCTATTTCTAGTTATATGTCTTTGTATTTTGTTATCTTTTCCAGTTCTTTCTCTTCTATTCTACTGTCTCCAGACACTGCCATGTCCACTATCCAAATGTTTTTGTCTTTCTTATCGACAATTGTTAAGTCCAGGGTGTTCTGTGGCATATGCCTGTTTCTTTGAATTCTAAAGTCCCAGAGCAATTTAACTTTTTCATTTTCCATGACTTTCTCTATTTTATGGTCCCACCAGTTCTTGCTTGCAGGCAAATATTTCTTGCAGATCTTCCAATGCACCATTGTTGCTACTTTGTCATGCCACTGCTTGTGCAATCTTCTTGCAGCAACTTGCCAAGTGGTCCACTGTTTCTTCAGATCCATTCTGTTCTTCATTTGATCTTTCTTGTTGGCCAGTTGTGTTGTTGTTGTTGTTATATTCACCTTTGTTATTACATGTATTTTATTTTCCTTTTAGGGAAAAATTATTCTCAGCTGGTTTTCATGTCTACAACTGCTGGTAGCTTATGGAATTTGCAAGCGATACAATCCATGTGTCAAATGGAGCAAAACAAGGTTTGTAATGCTTTGAGGAATAGACAAATTTCCCTAGAGTGTCAGATTCCAGTTTCACACTTCTGAATAACTTATGTAATTCTGAAACCATTCACATGCACGCAAAGGAATGTGAATCCAGCATCCTTCAATACTGAATTAACAACAAAATGTAATGAAAAAACAAGCTTGCAGCTCTAAAAATCAAAACAGAGCATAAACTACAAGAAAGGCAAGAGAAAAGGAAAAGGAGGCAAAAGGAAGGAAAGTTAGTCCTTTGATTCTTGGATATTTTTCAAGTGAAAGATCTGAATTTGGGGTAATTTTAAAATGAAAGTATGTTTATGCTTTGTGAAACTATAGCATTTAGATATCAAAGCTCATGTTAGTTTATGCTTGATAACAAGTTAAGAGAAACCTGAAAATGCCCACTTCATTAAAATGTTTGATAACTTTTTTAATCCTATTACAGTAATATTACGTTTGACACTACAAACTGCATATTACTATCAATTAAATGTATATGCCAGTGATGGCGAACCTTTTAGAGACCGAAAACTGGCCCCGCCCCACCCCACACCCTGCCCCGCCCCTGCTCCACCCCCACCCTGCCTGCCCACAGGGCCACTCACCGCCCACAGGGCCCGCCGCAGATTGCCCAGCAGAGCCATGGCAGCCACGCCCTCTGCCTGCACCCCACAGCATCAACTGTGCACGATGGGGCGTGAGGGCAGAATCTTGTCTATGCTGCCTGGCTGCCATGTCCTTGGCTGCACTGCTCCGCGTGGGCCATGCTTGGGGGCGACTCTCTTCCAGGGGCTGCTGGTGAGGAGGGGTTGTGGGGGGAGGCAAGGCTGGGGCAACGGCACGTGTGCCCACAGAGAGGCTCCAAGTGCCACCTCTGGCACCCGTGCCATAGGTTTGCCACCACTGGTATATGCTGTCCATCTTTCTGATAAGGCGACTCTGGATGGCTTACATATCTAGTATAAAAGGTAACTGACAGATGGAGTAAAGGTTGAACCAGTTATCTTTCTTAACTCAGGGAGAATAAACATATATTTTTAATGCAAATATATTATCATCATCATCATCATCCACTACCTTTATGTTTATGATGTGCAGCCAAAGATGAGGATAGAGAATTAGTTCCAGCTCTATTATCATCTACTGACCATTTTTGATTTCCAGTTGCCAGCCCCAAGATTATTTGATTTCATATTGTCATCAGCAGAACAAAGCCACAGAGTGAGAGAAAATGAGAATATTGGGGAGGGGGAGAAATAAAATAAAAGAGGAAAGGAAGAGAGACATGAAAAAAAATCTAATGTATTATTTTCCTTTTGGCCATTTTCCAGATCCGTTCACACCCACAATTTGGGAACCTGTGTCAACGTACTGAAGCCAATGAATGCTGCCCAAGCTGGTCTCTTGGGAACTATATTGCTGCTCTACATAACCGATCTTCTTGCTTCGACATTACCCAGGTGGATGTTTCCCACACCCTGACCCTCCTACGTTCTTGTGCTCCCGACTACCATAAGGGCATTCTTGTTCCTTCTTGCGTCGGTTTCAAGACTGAAAGAAACAAACATGTGCAATGTTCTAAACTCCCAGAGAAATGCACTCGGTTCCACGCAGTTTACCAGCTCCTTCATTTCTTAGTGGACAGAGACTTTCTCAGCCTGCAGACGGTGGGATACCAAGTGCCAACACTGAAATATAGCCTGTTGTTTTTGCCAACCATGAAGGGAGCTTCCATGCTGGGAATCTACCTAAATAATCTTGAGTCAGGGGACTTGTTTGATAACTACACATCCATCATTGGGATGGACTTGGGCCTTAAACAGAAATTATTCCAGCACTACCTTTTCCTGGATACCGTGTATCCAATCATGGCAATACTGGCAATATTTCTGAGCATATTTTGTTATTTACACTCGGTCTTTATCACTTTTGTTGTCATAATGATTGTCTTTGGTACACTGATGATTTCGTATTTCTTGTACAAAGTGGCCTTCCAATTCTCCTATTTCCCTTTTGCAAACCTATCTGCAGTGATCATTCTCAGCAGTATTTGTGCCAACCATACCTTGGTCTTTTTTGACCTCTGGAATCATAGCAAGAGCCAGAACCCATCTGCAGGTCTGTTGCAGTTGGTGAGAACGACCATGCATCATTTTGGTTACCTCATGATGGCATCTTGCCTGACAACTGGTGCTGCTTTCTACACAAGCTACATGAGTTACATTACTGCCATACGCTGTTTTGCCATCTACATGGGCACTTCTGTCCTGGTGAACTTGATATTTATGGTGACGTGGCTCCCTGCTTCAGTTGTACTGTATGAACGATTCATAATAGCAAGGAAGTGTGTTTATAAATCAGAACACTACTGGAATAATACTGGGCCCAAAAGGGTCATTCTGTCTTTCCATCATCTCCTCCAGAGTATCCAGACTACATGGTGTGAAACTTCCAAATTATTATTTGAGAAAGTTCTCCCTTGTGGGGTAATCAAATTCCGTTATATCTGGATCTGTTGGTTTGCTGCCTTGGCTATAGGTGGTGCCTATATTTCCTGCCTGAATCCTCGACTGAGGCTCCCAACTTTGGAGTTGTCATCTGTACAAGTGTTCAGATTAAATCACCCCTTTGAGAGATATGACGCAGAATACTGTAATGAGTTCATGTTTGAAAGGTTAGAACGAGAAGACATGCACATGCCTATCACTATTATATGGGGTATACTCCCAGTGGACAATGGGGATCACTTTAATCCCAAGAGTAATGGCACTCTGGTGAGGGACTCAGCCTTTACCATTGAAAATCCTGAAGCGCAAAGATGGCTGCTGCAGTTTTGCCAAAAAGTCAAAAATCATACTTTTTATTATGCTGATATGGAACAAAAATTCACAGTTTGTTTCATGGAGGAATTTCAACGGTGGATGGAAAGCAGACAGTGCTCCAAGAGAGATCACAGCTTCAACCTCTGCTGTAATCACTTCTCCTTCCCGTATGGTAGGGAAGTCTTCCTTCATTGCATCAAAATGATGATCATGGAACGCAACAGAGAAGAAGCTGAAGCTCGTGACTTTGGTCTCCGATTCGATGAGAAGGGCAAACTTGTTGCCCTGGTGCTAGAGTTTGAAACAATTTATTACTACAGCTCCAACTACAGCAAGGTAAAACATTTTTACAATGAGTTTGGCTTATGGATAAGACAAGAGATAAAGGTAGCCCCCATGGGGCTTCAAAATGGTTGGTTCACCAGTAAATTGGAGCTCTATAATCTCCAGCACAGCACTGACACAGAGACCATGGTGGTGCTGGGATTGTCAATAGCCATCTGTTTTGTGGTTCTCTTGCTCACAACTTGGAATGTCCTCCTTACTGCATTCTCTGTTATCACAATAGCAGGCACTGCTCTGGTAACCATTGGACTTTTGGTTCTTCTGGAGTGGCAGCTGAATGCTGTGGAGTCCCTCTTCATTTCAGCAGCGGTGGGCCTCTCTATCGACTTCACAGTGAACTACTGCATTTCCTACCACTTGTGTTCGCATTCCGATCGCCTGAGCCGGGTCGCCTTCTCCCTGAAACAGATGAGCTGTGCCACCATCATGGGAACTTCTGCTTTGTTTTCTGCAGGTGTGATGATGTTACCTGCTACTGTGCTAGCATACAGGAAGTTAGGTATTTTTATGATGATGATCAAATGTATCAGCTGTGGCTTTGCCACATTCTTCTTTCAGTCTCTGTGCTGCTTCTTTGGTCCAAATAAGAATTGTGGACAAATTCTTTGGCCATGCATCCATATTTTGAAGGACTACTCCGAGAGCCCTAACTCCTCCAACAGAACTTTCACTTGTGGAGGTAATGAGAAACAGAACCGATTAGCAAACGATCAGGGTTCCAATGGTGCAAATGAACAGTATGAACTTCAGCCTTTGGCCCGGAAGCTTAGTGACAGCTTTGACAACAGCACTTCCACAAGCAAATTGTCCAATCGCCCATCGGTCTTGTCAGAAGATATTCAACTCCAGGACAACCGGTGCCCTAGAATGGAGCTTCACTCATCCTTTGAGAGAGACAGACAGAAGTTAGAGCAAACTGAGGGATGCCATATATCTCTTTGTCAGTGCCCTGCCTTGCAAACGTCTTCTCCTTACAAGCCTGGAAGTAACTCAGGAACAGAAGCAGAAAATCATCAAGATGAGCTCTGCAGAGAGTGCAGATGCCAAAAATATGATCCAAAAGCCTGGGAACACTCCCAGTCAGCCAGCACAATAGATGACAGACTGCTAAATAAATCTCATTATCCAAGCAATGCCAATCGACAAAAATCAGATTATACCTCAGAAAATAGTAATCTGCCAGAAGCTGAACTGTATGATCTTCACAGATGCCTTTATTCCACTGGTAGCTCTTTCAGTGTTCAGAATGTCTCCAGTGAGACCTCTCTCAGTGATTTTGAACCCAGCATAAAAATTGTGGAATCATCCAGCTCCTGTCCAGATCATTTGGATGTAGTCGATTCTTGCTGTTCCACTCAGAGAGGTTACCTGAATGGAAAGAGAGACACCTTGAGGCTGGACCTGAGAGAGACTGTCTTTGATACCTCTGCATCAGCATCCCAGCAAAACAGTGGCTTGAGAAGAACACGATTAGGAGGATTGGGAGGTGTGGATCCAGTTGTTCTACCGAATAGCAAACCTGACATGCCTGATGTTTGGATTAAGCGGTCTGGGGTGCAAAACACTGGATACTGAAGGGTGAAAATCTCAAAGCAGAACAATTGCTATTTCAGGGGTATGGAAAACAAATGTTCGGATCAAATAGCAAATATGAAACCCTTCCTTTTTTCAGCATGAAAACAAAGTGCATTATTGCAGAAGTGAAGAAAACACTTTTTAAAAAATACTCAGCCAGCCAATTTGAAGTAGATCAGAAGCAAGTTTTAATGCAGTGTCAGCTAATCAACTGCCTACCCTTGTAGTCAGTGCCATGATGTTGATTATATTCAGTTATCCTTGTTAAAGACAGCCAGTTTTATTTAGTGGTTAAGACATCAAACTAGAAACTGGGAGACCAGGAGTTCTAGTCCTGCCTTAGGCATAAAGCCAGCTGGGTGGTCTTGGGCCAGTCAGTTTCTCTCAGGATGGAGGCAATGGCAAACCATCTGTGAAAAACCTTGCCAAGAAAACTGCAGGGACTTGTCTAGGGAGACTCTGACAAGCCAATATGATTAAACAGAAGAAGAAAAAAGAATCATGGTTAATCAAGAAAGAGTTGTTTGTAACTGTCTCTGGTGTAAGATGTTTTGCAACGTCACTTGATTTTGGAAGCAGCAGAGTCCCAGTGATCACAGAAATAAATGATTTAGTAGCTACTGAACAAGGGGGGAACTTTGTACCTTGGGGCATTTGATGTTGACTCATAAGATCTTGTATATTGTTGATGTGACAAAAATGTTTTAACTGAATCACTTTCTATCAATTATGCAAATCTCATCAAGAAATTATATTCAGATACGGACAGAAAAAAATATTGCTTGGTAATTTTTCAAATAATTATTAGTACTCTTTAAAAGTAAATGTTAACAGTATAATTTATTTTTAACTTGAAGTGTGATTAAACTTTTTTCTCCAAGGACAGCATGTTTTAAATTTCATCCAACTTTTTTCATTTTATATTTTTTTATTTTCTGATATGAGTATTTTGTCTTTCATCAAATATAGTACACCTTTTGATTTGTATTAATGTTCATGCTAGGTGTATTTCATTCAAAGCTATCGGTTTTCAACTAATTATTTTTGTTCAGAACTGTATCTATAATTTTAGCCTCGTATTCTGTGAAACTAACAGACATTTGCTTTCTTTTCACCTTGCAATGTCACACTCTTTTCCATCTTTTTATGATTTATCTTGCATCTAGCTGTAATAATATCCTAGCATAAAAATAAACTTTTTTTCTTAAAGTTTTCTTTTACAATGAATACTGTGATTTACAGTACTTTTTATATACAAAAAGCTTTGGACCCTTTAGATTTTCTGCATTTTCACTTCTATTACACAAGTCCCTCTCTCACTACTTAAATAATATTTAGCAGACATGTATAGATCTAGTAAAAATTGTATCACATCTCTTCCACATCCTACACACTTTTTATTTAGACTGTTCTCCTTCCTAAGAATGTATCATGGTTATATTGGGGTGGGTGGATGTTAGTCTCCCTTTAACTGTATGCAACATAATGTATTGACAAAATAATTTTGTTCAGTATGAGCTAAATAAAACTAATTTGAGTTACTTTTAGACTATCTTTCTGGATGCCTACTTAGAGAAGAATCTTGTGAGAATTATATTATAACATCACTAGCATTGCAATTGCAATTTATATTTATTTAAATTTATATAATTATAGCACAGTGTGCAATCTATACATGATTCTTTCAACTTGTTGGAGTTATTGCCCATATATAGTAAAGAGGTTCAGGATTATAGCAATAAGATGCAATCCTCATAAATATTAGAAATCAGTCCCAATGATATGGAACAAATGGCCTCAACAGCAAAACAAAACAACAAAGTGTTGTGTTCATTTCTATGCAAAACTCCATCTGATTTATAAAGATATAAGATTCACAGCTCAAAGCCCTAGGATATATGGTGTAGGCATGTGTGCACAGATATATGATCCTCCACTTGGAATTTTACATAATCCTTAAACCTTAAGCATTCCTTTGCCTATCCCTGTCCTACATTAACCCATGTTAGAATTAATACTTTCACCATTTAAAAAAATATGTTCAAAGTCAGTAGTAGAAAGTGAAACCCCACCAGGCAAGAAGGTTGACACTGGGAAAAAACAGCAAGGTGCTACATATAGTATAAGAAATGATCGTGTAGAAGGGGAAAGTCCCTTCAGGAGCCTGAATGCTGATAAAACTTATGACAAAAAGACCTGTCTAAGATAAAAGAAAATAAACAAGACTGGGTACATAGAGCATACAAAGCATGACTCCCAGGAAGCTAAGTATCACCAAAAAAGAAATAACAACGACTAAAAGCGGCATTCACAGCACCAGTAAGAGCAACTGAACTGCAAATGACAACTACTAGTCAGATGAATGTATAGTGTGCTATTCTATAAATGAAAACATCAGAAAAAATAGAGGAGCACTAATAAAAAACAAGAACATCACCAATTCAGCTGAAATCTGCATACCACTATATGATGGAACAATGGCTGTTTACATGCAAGCTATGCTTCTGAATGTCGCAATTTCACAAATGTATGCACTAACTACAGATGCATCTGAAGAAGAAACGTTCAAGTACATTCACATTCACATTCAACAAATGTGAAAAAGAAGCCCTGTCAATTCCTGGCAAATAGATGGGGAAGAAATGGAGGTAGTGACAGATTTTATTTTCCTGGGTTCCAGGATCACCGCAGATGGGGACTGCAGTCAAGAAATTAAAAGATACTTGCTATGGCAAATCTAGACAGCATACTAAAAAGCAGAGACATCACCCTGCCAACAAAAGTGTGTATAGTCAAGGCCATGGTTTTCCCAGTTGCAATGTATGGCTGTGAAAGTTGGACCATAAGAAAGGCTGAGCGTCAAAGAATTGAGGCCTTTGAACTATGGTACTGGAGAAGACTCCTGCGAGTCCCCTGGACTGCAAGGCATTCAAACCGGTCAGTCCTAGAAGAGATCAACCCCGACTGCTCTTTAAAGGCCAGATCCTGAACTTGAAACTCAAATACTTTGGCCACCTAATGAGAAGGAAAGACTCACTGGAGAAGGGCCTAATGCTGGGAAAGATTGAGGGCAATAGAAGAACAGAACAACAGAGAATGAGGTGGCTGGATGGAGTCACTGAAGCAGTAGGCATAAGCTTAAATGGACTCCAGAAGATGGTAGAGAACAGGAAGACCTAGAGGAACGTTGTCCATGGAGTCGCGATAGGTCGGACACGACTTTGCAACTAACAACAACAACAAATGTATGTATGATTTCAGTGCCCAAACTGAAAGCAAAGATGCAGCAGAAATATTGGCAGATCCAATATAATCCAGAGAATGAGCATTGCAAAGAAATTGATGGAAAAGAGACCCACTAGAGTTATTTTTTCCCTAATAAAGAAAATATTTACTATATAAAATAAAGGGGGGTGAGTTCCAGCACCTTTTTTCTTACAAAAAAAGCACTGGTTATGGCTATCTTACTTTGCTCTTGTTATGCAATAAAAATCTTCAGAAAAATCAGTTATTCTAGAAATGGTTACAGGTATTAGAAAATGAGATCAGCAAAGAACATACTGAATAGATACATCAGGCAAGATTCTGGTTAAAATCCAGAAATATTAAATAAAGTTATAAAACCCTGGAAAGAATAGAGGGAACTAATCTAGAAAATCTGTAAAACACCGGTATGACTGAATAAATGGAAGACTGATATTTAGAATGTTGAGAGCATGCAGATGACATATGCCACACATTGTTGTAGGGATAAGGCTTGTGTGATCACTGCAAGGCTGACCAATCACAGAACAAGCTTTAAGAGAATGCAAATTGATGAGTTATTCCATACATCTCTTCCACTCTTGCATGATGCTTTTAATGTGTGTATGTATGTGGATATACTGGCTCATTTTCAAATAAAGTAATGATCTGCAGCTTTCTTATTCTCTAAGAAACCCCACGTGATCGCTATTCATTGAAAAAAAAACCCATGGAACTGGATTGAGGCTGATTTAGTTTCTGCTGCCATCAGATTCAGAACTTGAAAGGAAACTTTAATTATAATACACAAGGCAAATCTTATGGAACCAGCAACTATAATGTTGTAATTAGATGCTAGTATTTCTCAATATGTTCTTAGGTTGATTGGAGATATGAAGTAAAACCTGGGCAGTTATACTAGTTAGAGAAGACTGCAGCTTACCTGTTCTTTGAAAGCTGAATTCCTCCAACAGTTCTATTGTAACTGATAGTACAGGGAGAAATTACACTACTGTATGAAGCATCATCTTGACTTGATGGCAGAAAATAACTCATCAGCTGTTTACTCACTTAAACAATTGGTACAAGTACATCAAATAAGAACAGCTCTTCTTTTTCTGCATGCCAGTGAAATTCATACACCAATCAATTATGTCTACTTATTTTACACTGTCTCATACCTTTCCCCCCAACAAATGGGTCACAGTTAGGGTTATTAATTGATAGTTGACAGTCACCTCTATAAATTTATGTATTAATGACATAACACAACAAAGATATTGCACCAACTGACAACCAATCTTTTAGATAACAGATTTTAAGACTTGTAATGGGCAAAAAAAAAAAAAGAACAAGAGTCAGAAGAAAAAAGGAAAGAGCATGAATTTTCAAAGTATTAACAAAAGAAACAGGATTTCCAAGTGACTGGTCCTTAAAATTTCTTGGAAGTTTGAAATCTCCTTAAGCAAAGGTCACATTCTGGAGAAGTGTGCTAACAATGAAGAAGAGGAATTGAAGACATCTTATCTAGCCTTCGCAAGTAACCTCTGATAAATGTCAAACATGATGAAGAGAAAGATATATTAATAGCCAGAGAAAAACCAGGAGCCAGAAAAACATACCTGAAGAGATGTTACACTCAGACTTTATAGAAAGATCTAGTGTATATAGTAGCTGGATTTTAAAAATCGTTCATGTAAATGTTAGCAAATACTAGAGACACAAGATAAAAGGATAGATGCTGACATGAATTGTAACTGGGTTAAAGAACACAGAATAGGAGTAAATGTTAGGATTTTATACTGGAGAAATGAGCAAATTGGAACAATCCATGGATCAGTATTGGGATCATGCATTTTAAGATGTTCATAAATGGATTGAAATGTGTTTGCATATTTAAATAAGGGTTAGAATGGGACATTCTCAAACTCTGGCCTGCAAGAACCATTCAGCTGATTATTTAACAGTTTTTTCCCCAACAACACAAACATTAGGTCCATACCAAGTATTTTAATATTTTCAAAATACGCACTGAGCTTTCTACTACTTTTCTTTCTTATATTTTTATTTACTTCACTGTAAAATAAGAGCCTAATTCAGTCTTGAGCAAATTAGCTAGAGGTCATTTACCATTCAACAGGCCAAAGTTCGGCAAGGTTTCTCCCATCACTAATTCTATTTCATGTGCAATTTCGGTTTATAAAAGGTCCCTAAAGCAGTCCATCCAACAGGTAAAGATCCATGCAGTTCATCACATATGGGAACGCTGCGCTGCTGCAGATTGTTTTAAAGCAGGGGTCTCCGAACTTGGCAACTTTAAGATTTGTGGACTTCAACTCCCAGAATTCCCCAGCCAGCACATGCTGGCTGGGGAATTCTGGGAGTTGAAGTCCACAAGTCTTAAAGTTGCCAAGTTTGGAGACCCCTGTTTTAAAGAGACCGGGTCCCTGGCTGTTCTGAACCTTCCAGATTCAAGTGTTATCGGATCGAAATCGTATGGCTCAGTTGATTTTTAGTACGGACTTTCTAATCTAAACAGAGACATCATAACCACTCTAACGTCCCATTAAAAGCTGTTTCAGAACAGTATTTTTTTTCTTCGAAGAAAAGCAAAGGAATCAAATAACCCATTCCCACTCTAAATTAAGCCCACCCTGTAAAATGATGCAGGCCAGCTTCTTCTATATAATATCTACGGGAGGTTTTTTTTTTTTTTTTTCATTCCGTTCATGCGCTTAAGTTTTCCCCATCTCGGGACTGGACGTTTAGTTATTCGGCGCATGCGCGCGGGAGACTTTCCTGGGCTTCTAGCTGTCGCGTTAGGTCGAGAAGAAAACGCCCTTTACGATTCAAATGGCGGCGGGACGCTGTTGTAGAAGCAAACTTTGGGTGCTACGCTGGGAGCTTCTCTGAGAGTCGTATGTCACAGGTTAGAAGTTTCGGGGATCAAATTTGGGTCTCGCCTGACTGATGGTGCTTGCACGTTATATGTATGCACATGTGGTTGGAAGGCTTTCTGCTGAAAGCCTTTATTTATTTGAAATTAAATAATTTTCGCCAGCAACTGCTTCTTGTCACATGGGTTCCTGACTATGATTCATCGCTTTGAGACCAAAGGATCACAATGTGCTTTTATCGAGGGCTGTTCAAGAAAAAAAGTTTAGAAAGTTTAAAGGTTATAGTATAAAATTGCCAGAAATAAAGGAATATATTTGTGGCTCAGGGTTGAAATAAGGGGTCTTTGGTGCTCTCTGAGCTTGGTTGTTTTCTTGCAAACGTTTCATTATCCAAACTAGGTAACATAAGTCTAGCACTGATGACGTTACCTAATTTGGATAATGAAACGTCTGCAAGAAAATAGCCAAGCTCTGAAGTTGCTAGTATAAGAAAAGAGCACAGTATATCACACTGGCCCTTGATATCTTTGCTTGGTCTATAAAAGTGTTTTATTTTTTTTAACTCATAGAATGTGAAATTTCAATACACTTTAGAAAAATCTTATTTTCCATTCCTTTCTATGAAATGAAATCAAATGAACTTAAAATCCCATGAAATTGGGATGCATTTCTAAACAGATTACGCAACACATTGCATCAGTATGCGATTGCCTTGTGTATACCTCTAATGCAGTTTATACATTGATCATTCATAAAGGTATAAGTAAGTAAACATGATTCAGTGTGCAACATGAACATGGCTATTTTTGATTAAAGTGAAATTTGCAGAGAAAAGGATTAATGACCTAAATAAAATTATTGCAAATTACTTTGAAGGTTGTGAGACATACTTACTTTGTTCCCAAACAGAATAGACTGCTGTTGTAGAAAATAAAAAAAATTAAAATAATGGTTGTTTGCAATGCTCATTACATATCTTACAATTTAATTAATAGCTAGCTTTACCATCCTCCTCCTGTTCCATACTATTAGTTAACTGTTTTTAGTGTATTTGCTGTCTTGAACCAAAACAAATTCTATTTCCAGTTTCTGGAAAGTGGGCTTTATATACTGTTTTAATTGTAAAACTAAGCTTACAGAAACTCAAAATGATGGCAACCTGGAGTTTAAATAGCACACTAAATCGGAAACCTTGAATAAACTGCTATGCATAGTGCAAACTGTAAAGATTAGTTTCACACCATATGCCAAACCAAAACAAGAGCAAAATATAGTTTCCTGCAGTGCAGTATATGAACTTTCTAATAATACAGAAAAGCAAAATTTTAGAATTGCTGTTCTCCCTCTACCTTTACAAGGATATTGTGCCTAATGAACTTTTAGCAGGCTTGGCTTCATGCATATTCTGCTATTGTAGGAACTGTTGATCTGCAGCACTTTATATCTTTTAAATTTTAAATATGGAGACAGACAAATATGAGATCCATGTATACATTTCCCAACAGTCCAAAACAACTGGCATTCTAAAAAGTCTGTTAATGTGTTACCTTATAATTAGAGAGCAATTATCTTATTTCTTCCTGTGTTGCAGAATCTTTGCAAAGACAACTTCAAATGCTTTTCTTAACTGTGGTTGCTAATCTTAGATGAGCCTGATGTGAATTAGAATTTATCAAACTTATAGCTAGAACTATGTACTTAAACCCCACTCATCCTTTGAGGTAATGCCTGGTCAATTAAGAGTGGAATTTTATATCAAGATAGTATTCTGTTATCATCAAATGTTTTGGCCTGCAAACTTTATATTTATTTATATTGTTTGTCAAGCTAGCTAGATTTTTTTGAAAATACTATTTGAAATATCAGGATGGCATCAGGTTTTGTGCATATATTCTGGGTCAGTAATCAGTTTTGGTTTTGCATTTTAGAGAAAAGGTTAGAAATTCAAATATGGTGAACTATAAGAACAAGAAACTGTTGGTTAAAAATCAGAAATCAAATCAAGCTTTTGCAAGTGGACTTGATGAAGAAATAATGTCTTGCTCATACAGAGATTTAAAGAAGAGAAAAAGCAATAGATTTTTCTGCTCTTTTGCCTTATCCAAAGTTCTGCACAAATTAAGAAAGAGTACAGGACTTAGGATGAAAGATACAATAATATCAAAATTATTTTATTCCTCTGCCATCACATTATTCCTGTTATTGCTAAATCTTGCAACTTTTTCCTTTCATTTCCAAATTTCATTTCACTCTTAAGGTGTTATAAAATCACCCTCTCGGTTTAGGTATCATCCTCAGCTTTTTCTCCTTAATGTTAACCTGAGGGCAGGAATTTCCATTAACTATTTGCCTTATTTGCAGAGGTGCAGCTCTGTAATTATTCAAAGCAGCAAAGCCGTAACAAAGAGATGGACTCAAAGCCCCAGAAAGATCCTGTTTTTACGTGTGGTGCAAACAATCCTACCGCATCTGTTGCCTTCAAAGACCCAAATCAAAGGTATATATACTTTTGCTATGATTGCCAAAATATCTATTCTTTTGGCAGCTCCATTCCATATACCACCACTCCCATACTCTCTTTTTAAAAGAGAGAATTTGCAATTTCTCTTCGTCCCTCCCACCAAAAAAGAAATTTGACCTAATATGTCAGGGAGGCTAAAATTAAGATCCCTAATCAGAATGTTTTGCTCTCTTTTTTGTTGTTCATGTTCGTTGTATTGAAATGTTTAGATTTAAAATCCTTATCTTGTTCCAATATTTATTTGTTCCTCTCATATTAAGACTCATGAAGTCAGTGAAAAAGGTTGCACTGCCACCCCCTTCGAAGAAAGGATTGCCAATAGCTACACGATCGTGAGTATTTGCAAGCAAACTATCCTCCTTTTCCCCCCCCTCCTATTTTGTGGCAGAATGCCTTAGAATGGTTTATAAAACATGTTTTAAATATTCCAAATTTCTAATGTTCTCTTCAAATTTGAAAATATTGTTACAGCCTTATTTCAACTTCAAAACAAACTATTCTGATAAAAATTGGAACAATCTGTTTCGAGAATAGAACACTTTTAGCAAGATTAGAAAAGCATGAGTGAGTAAGAATACTCCAGAGCCCAAACTTTGGACTCTGACATGTTTTATAAGCCTCTAATTCTTTACAAGAATGTATTTCACTTAAATTGTGTTTCATTTTGGAAAAAAACAAACTGCCGTAAGTGCAGAATTCGCTATGTACAATAATTGCAGGACAAACTATATTATGAAAATATCACAAAGTGTAAATATTTGGTTAGATTAGATTGTATTGTGGAATTTGTATCATGTAGATTTTCATTATTAGTGTGGATATACATTACAGTTTCCAGTTGGCTAATTGGAGCAGCCTACAGTATAAGCCTTGTACATAAATGAATATTTAGATACTGATATAGGCTGATCAAGTAGTGGTGCTTCTGGATGAAGGCACTATGTGGTGAATATCTTACATTTTAATAATTTCTTTATATTCCTCTTTTCCATCTGCAAAATAATGAGTGTTCTTGATATGTTATTAAATGCAGGCAAAATTGCCATCTATGATTAATCACTAATACGTTTGATTCAGTAGCCCTATGAATAGATACAAACGGGAGACCGAACTCAGAAACAAAAACAAGTTCCTGGAGAATGTCAAAAGTGAATTGAGTTTAAAAGTGGAGGAAATGCAGGTAGGAAGCAAACTTGGCTTTTGTTATTATGCGATGAACCAGATAGAATATGGGCAGTTCCTATAATTTTTTCATTCTAATTAACTTTTTGAGTGTGTAAGCCCGATCTTTCCTCTGCTTTTTTATTTTCATCTTTGGAGTAATGAGGGCTGTGCAGGTTATACAAGAATGACAGATTGGAACTACTCTAAGGGTTTTATATCATTTCACAATATATCATTTCATAGAGCAGTGTTTCTCAACCTTGACAATTTTAAGGCATGTGGACTTCAACTCCCAGAATTCCACAGCCAGCATTGCTGGCTGTCGAATTCTGGGAGTTGAAGTCCACATGCCTTAAAATTGTCACGGTTGAGAAACACTGTCATAGAGGATTAAAGTCTTTTTCTTCTGTTTGGTGTGGAAAATATTTGTCTGTGGATTGTCTTCTTAGAAGAGAAAATCTATGTAACTTTATTCTTTAGTATTTTCCTCTATAGAGTCATTTTCAGTTTTTTCCTGTTTTTGCTTAGTCCAGAAAAAAAATTAAAAGTGGAGGGAATAGTCTATGGGCTTTTTTTTTTCTTTAGCCTATATATTTTTTAAAAGATTGTTTTTCACAGTTCTACAAATGTAGCACTCATTTGGACCAATTCCATGATTTCACATATTTGGAGGGCATCAAGTTTGGAGAAAACTGCATTTTTCTTTCCTTAGCTCTCTTGATAGCTCCCACTGCCAGATGTGACCAAGGACAAAGCGAGGAAGCATGATAAAATATTTTGCCTCCATACAGCTGTCTTTTGGAGAAGGTTGTAACTTATGTCATTTGCTTTCTAAGTGCAGCCCCCTAAACTTCCTAGGGTACTATTCAATTTTTGCATGGTGTCCATTTGGATATCTTCCCATAGCAGAAGAAAAGAGAATTTGATAAATGCATCCATGCATTTTCATAGCATGGATCTGCCTTCAGTGTTTAATTATTCCACCATGTTTCCTAGCACTTCAAGCTAGTTCATGAAATAAGGGAGGAGAGGCTTCCAGATAGGAGAGAAGAGACGAATCAACCCTCCTTTTTCAGTGCTGTAACACCTATTCCCTAAGTTTGCTGTCCTGCCATACCAAAACAAGAATTGTCTCAAGGTACACCAAAGTTCCATTCTCCCCCTACATTTTTGAAATGATGGAACACTGGGCAGGGAATGAAGTTCAGCCGTGGAGCCATATCCAGCCACCAATACTAAATTACTGTTTTGTGAGATTAGTGAAATCCTACTTTGTGTAACACATTTTCTAAATCTTAAGAAATCACCTTATCATCACTGCTGATATTTATAATAGCCACAAGAAAATAATGTCCTTCCAAATAAAAAGGGTTGTTCTATTGCACGATTCTTCATCTTTTCTTGTACCTTATTTATTTCTTAAAGAGCTAATAGTAATAAGTAGTTTTCTTAATTTGCCTTTTGGTTTGGTCTCTGCAGAAGGAGGTGAAAGAGATGAAGGAGCTATGTGATAGTCTTGAAAAAGAAAATGATAAGCTGAAAAAATTTCAGGAAAGCTGCCTCTTGATATTAGAAGCCAGGAATTGTGATCCAGGTAAAGCATTTAGTATTCTGTGTTTATTGCAAACAAGACAATTATATACAACAGACATGTCAAACACAAGGCCCAGGGGTCAGAGGCGGCCCACGAAGTGGTTTCATGTGGCCCGCGAAGCCATCCTGGAAACAGTGAGGGAACAGCCTCCACTGCCTTGGCCCTAGCCCAGGCCAGCCGGGAGCCAATGTACAATTTTGTAGTGGCCATCTTGGCATTTGCCCCGGTGGACCATGCCTTGGCACTTGCCCTGGTCCCACCCCCTTCTGCCAGAGACCCTCAGATCTGTCCCACTCCTGCCCAGGCCCCCATAGGCACCCTTGACGCGAATGATGTAGAACTGGCCACACCACCCAGTAGGCCACACCCATTCTATCCACACCCACCCAGTAGGCTGCACCCACTCTAGCCACACACACACACACCCCAGGGCAACCGCAATGCTGATGCAGCCCTCAGTGAAATTGAGTTTGACACCCCTGATATACAATATTATTTCTGTCACTATCTTTCCACCAGCAAAAGACTAAAACTCCTATGATGGTAGGGTCCTCTTCATGTAATTAAGATTACCTAGACTAGTGTTTCCCAAAATGTGATCCATGAATCACTGGAAGTTCCCTAAATTTCCCCAGGTAATCTGACACAGTCTGTTTGACACTATAGCCTGCATCTGTTTCTAAACTGTCAATCACCTGCTCAATCTTTTTAATATGAAAGGCTCATTATTTAAAGAATCTGTTGAACATTCTCAGCCAGCGAATTGTGCTAAAAGTAGCCAGCACTATATAGACTGTATACATAAAGCAATTCAAATGATTAATACATTTTTAAGTTTAGGTTAAATTTTAATATTTTTAAAATGCTTTAAAATGGAGAGGATGGGAAAACATATAGAAATGCAACTGTAATAATCTCATATGCTGAAAACATCCATCTTAGAGTCCAGGGCAGTGGTTGTCAACCTGTGGGTCGGGACCCCATTTGGGGTCGAACGACCATTTCACGGGGGTCGCTAAACAACGCAGTCCGCCATTTTTTCCCCCTTTTCCTTAGCTGTGCTACTCCCTTTTATTCTATTGGCTTTTGAAAGCCAATAGAGTAGACTCTCTTGAATAGAGTCTAATTCTATTGGCTTTCAAAAGCCAATAGGAATTGTCCAGGCTGTCTCTGCCCTGCTGAGCCCGCCAAAAGTCCCATTCTGCAAACGGTGCTGCACCAGTTGAGTAGTCCTCGACTTACGACTGGTTGAGTAGTCCTCGACTTACGACCGGTTGGGGGTCGCGGCATTAAAAAGGTTGAGAACCACTGGTCCAGGGGTAGGCAACCTTAGCTCTTTTTTGACTCATGGACCTCAGCTCCCAGAATTCCTCAGCCAGCATGGCTGGCTCAGGAATTCTGGGAGTTGAAGTCCACGAGTCATAAAAGAGCCAAGGTTAACTACCCCTGGCCTAGATAATGTGGTACAAAATAGAATCTAGGTGGTACAAAGCAGACAGATGTTTATTCTACTATTTTGTAATGTATGGACTAAGCCACTTTAAAGTTCAACCGCTGAATAAATTATTAGATAATTCTGATTAGGCCAGGACAAAAATCTTTCCCATTTTTGATCCCTGACTGAAGGTTTGATGGTTGAATGCTTTTTTCACTCAGAGCATATGTTCTGCCTCTGAAATATGATCCCTTTGTAAGAGATCATTTTGATTCATGTGATTCTATTCGGAAACAGATGTTTCAGAATTTCTTACCAAAGGAGGCAGCAAAATAACTCCAAAGTTGCTTGCCTTCTATGCTTTCAGTTGAATGAGAAGAAATACAGCTTATATATTTGAAATACAATAAAATATTTGAAAATTAGTTACAGGGGACCAAATTTTGGAGGAGGAAGAAATGAACAAGAAGACACAAACTGAGATAACGGTAAAAATCTGATTCTGTTTACTATTCCCAAGGAGAACTATAATCTGAGGCAGTCTTAAGGTTTTGTTACCAACCTAATAGTTCCAAAGCATGCAGATGCAAGTACATAAATAAGTACTACTTTGGTAGGAAAGTAACAGCATTCTATGCGCCTCGGCATATAGTGAAGGCTTTGGACAACGCTGGCTTCCTCGGCTAGGAAATGGAGATGAGCATCACCCCTTAGAGTTGGACATGACTGGACAGGGAAAAGCTTTAACTTTTTAAAGCAAGGACAGATTACAGGGTACAACTACTAACCTAATAGTTGAATCTTACTTCTACACTGGCAACTGTAACCTTATCAACTGTTTCTGAGGATGGTAGCCTGAGGGAGTGCAGAGTTAAGGCTGTGTAAAGGTTGTTGAATGGCTTTCTGAGTGTGTCCCTTTCCAGTGTTTTTTTCTGAGGTGGCTTCTCTATTCTATGGCAAGCTGCTGAATTTAGTTTATAAACCTAGTCATGGGTATAAAATAACTTAAAAGTTTCACTTTTAATTATGAATTAGAAGTTGATAATACTGCTATTTCTAATGTTTTTGCCTTTCAGGTTTTATCAGACAAACTTAATGCTGATCTTGAATTGTTCATCCAAATGGCTAAAAAGGAAAAAGAAAATCTTCAGGTAAAACTAGGATAGATTTTCCTCTCTTCCTCTTCAGATACATGTATATTAATACCATACAACATCCGTGTTTAATATTTTTAGTGCTTTGATTCTAACTCTATGCTAACAACCTCTATCTGTAGGAAAAAACTCTGAATCTTCTTTTGGCGTGTGGTAATTGTTTATTTGTATATATGTATTAATTCCAAAAAAAACCTCTTACTTTGTTTTGTGCAAGCAATTTCTGACAGATGCTTTGCACCTAACTGACACATGTAAGAAGGGACAAACCTATTCTGTTAAAACTAAGGACAGAAGAAAAACCTACACATTGAAACTAAACTAGATTCAAGTTGAATCCTGTACTAGAAAGAACTTTGTGGTAGTAACAGCTGTTAAGCAAAAGAACAGTGTGCCTAGAAGAATGTGGCCCATCCATTTTCTTTCCTGGAATATTTGCAAGGAGTGGATAACCCTTGTTGGGGTTAGTTCAGTGGATTTATACACAAAGTAGGGAATTGAACTAAATGACATAAAGTCTGCTCCAGGTCCTAGATTGTGACTCAGTTTCTGTACAGGTGGTCCTCTACTTACAACCATTTGTTTAATAACTTTTCGAAGTTACAGCAGCACTGAAAAAACTGATTTACAACCAGTCTTTGTACTTATAACCATTGGAGCATTCCCACAGCCACGTGATCAAAATTTGGGCAATTGGCAAATCAGCAGGTATTTAGAATGGTTGCAGCAAGCTGGGGGGCACATGATTACCCTCTGCAACCATCCAAGCCAGATTCCGACAAAGCCAATAGAGGCAACCAGATTTGTTTAACTTTGTCATTACCTTAACTATGTGACTAGCTTAACAACAGTGGCAAAAAGGTCATAAAAAACCACACAACTCATTTAACAATTCCCTTGCTTAGCAACAAAAATTCTGATCCCAATTATGATCATAAGTTGAGTATTACCCGTATTTCAATTTTCACAACTGTAAAATTTATTAAATGCATTTGTAATAAAGTAGATATTGCTACTTAAACATGTTCTTCTTTACAGAATGCTCAGACCAGATGGAAGCAGATAGAGGAGGAGAGGACCCACTTCTTACAGGAACAACAATCTTTTCATAGAGAAATGGAAGAGCTGGTTGCTGCCTTAAACCAGGAAGTTGACTTCTTAAGCTCATCATAGACTTAAATTGAGATTAAGTTTACTATGGATCATTTAAACAATAACTCATATTCTCCAGAATAGCTAGACATGTAAGAAGATACGAAACTTAATACTAAACTGTATGTACCAGAGGAATTTAAGGAATATTGTTTTTCTTGTTTTCCTGTGGCTTTGAAAACAGCTAATCTAGGTATGTGAGATATACTTTCTGTTACCTTAATCTCTCAATCTTTCAGTTTTCTGTTCCTGAAAAGAATTCTACTCCCCAAATATGAAATTACAGGCAGAAATGTTCATTCTCCTATTTATTGGGGTGGAAGAGCTTTAAGTATGTCATGTCCAGGCAAATACTCTTCAGATTGAACTTCAGCTTCCATCAGTCCTAGCTAATATGGATGATGACAAAAGATTGTGGAAGTTGTTTCCAAAATAGCTGGAGCAAGCTATAACTACTATATTATAAAATCTTTAAGCTGTTCCATTGGCAGGCCATTTTAATGTACTCAATGGCTCCAAACAAGGGATAATAATTAAAATCTATTAAATTCTGAGTGGTCGTATAATTGGATGATGTGTTTATGTTTTTAGTTGACATTTTGTGTAAGTTCTTGATGTTAATGACAATAAAAATTTACTATGTTTAAATTTTAGTTCTAATTACTTTTGACCTGTAATTGCTAAGAAGGTACAGAAAACATCTTAGATTGATTATTGTATTTTAATTTCCTTTCTAATGTATTTTTACTCTGTAGAATCTTTCTAGTCAGCTAGGGTAGGTGAAATACCTCAGCATATTTTAGAAATATGTAAGATTTTTGACCACTTCATAATCTTCAGTTTTTGTTTCAGATTTAAAGGTATTTTATTATTAAGCTGCATAATAATAGAAGATGTTGCCATCTTCTATAATCATCATCACATCCTCTGTTAAGCATATTAGCTACAAGCATACTCCACAGTTCTCTATGCAGTTACAGTCTCCGTCCTTCCATTTAAGGTTGATTTTTTTTTCCTGATCTTTCTGAAATGTTTGGCGCCAGGTTTTCTTTGGTTTTCTCTAACCATCTTGTGGTATCCAATTGATTGCAGTCTTTGCTGGATGCTGCTCACTCATAAGGAATCCATGTCCAGTAAAGCCCATTCTTCGTTTTGTCACTATTTCAGAAAGTTTTCAGGAATTACTTATTTGTAGAATTTCCTCATTTGTGACATGGTCCCAATATGAGATATGAAGAATCCTTTTGAGTCAATATTGTTAAAAGATGTGATTTTATAATTCTCGTAGATTTCCAGGTCTGACTGGCACAGATGGCAATTGGTATGGCATTAAGTAATCTGATATTGATAGATGTGATCCATACTGAGCACATTTGTTGGAAGACAGCAGCTGCTTTGCCTATTCAAAATTTCATACCTGCTTTAGTTCTCCCATCTGTATCCATGACATCACCAAGACAGTTGAATTGTTCCACAAATTTTAAGACCTGTCCTAATGTTATTGGGGTGTTGTACTGAACATTGCCAACTTGCTTGGTCTTCACTGATGGCTAAGCCCACTTTACTTGCCACTGCTTCAAGTGCCAGCATACAGTATCTTTCAGCTATGTCTTAGTGTTTGCTAGTAAAGCAATGTCATCCGTAAAATCTAAGTCAATTTGCCTTGACTTAGATTTATTTCATGGAATGCTGAAGTCCAATTTATTAATTGCCTTTTTCATGGTACAGTCCATGGTAATCAGAAATAAAAAGAGGGATAGGACACAGCCCTCCCTTACACCTGTATTAATTGTAAAGTAGTCAATACTGCCATTTTCAGTTTTTACACAGCACCTAGTGTTGTAAACGTTTCTAAAAATATTAACATAGCAATAGCACTTAGACTTATATACCACTTCACAGTACTTTACAGCCCTCTCTAAGCGGTTTACAGAGTCAGCATGTTGCCCCCAACAATCATTTTACCGATCTCGGAATGATGGAAGGCTAAGTCAACCTTGAGCTAGTGAGAATTGAACTGCTGGCAGCTGACAGTCAGCAGAAGTAGCATGCAGTGCTGCATTCTAACCAATGCACCACCATTGGTTCAACATACTGGTATCATGAATACCATAGACCATGGGTGTCAAACTCGTCACGTGACGTGACGTATCATGACTTTGCATTGCCAACAATGGGGTGGGCATGGCTTCAGTATGATGAAACCAGTCTGCAGGCCAGCAGTTTGACACCCGTTATAAATGGTATTCCACAGTGATTCTCTATTGACACAGATTCAGATGCTTTTTTAAAATCAATAACTAATTGTCACCTGGTTTTGGTACCCCTTACTCTGTTCAATGAAATTTTGCAGTGAAAAGATCTGTTCATTGCACGAATGACCTTGTCTGATTCTGGCTTGTTCTTCATGCATATATTGTTTGATCTTATTTTGGAATTTTTTACGTGGGACAATACATAGCTCTTTTCCAGGGACTGAGGGAAGTATGATACCTCTCCAATTATTTAAGGTTGCCTAAGACCTCATATATAATTTCAATTATATTTATCAAGTATTTACAATTTGCCCAAGGATCAACAAAATAATCTCTAGAAAACAAATGCTAAGACTTTCAAATAAAGTGAAATTGGGTTTTTCTTAGTAAACCTGCAAAGGAATGTAATGTTATGCCATTATGCTGCTAGTGGGGAGGGGCTCCTAATTAAAATCTATCTTTCCCTGTTCGTGAGAAGTTCCCTATTTTCCGAATTTCCTTTTTTCAGTTTTTGAAACTTTAAGGCGCGATTTGTGCTACGGGTTACAAAAATACTAGGAAAAAATGCTTTCTTTGCTATATAACTAAGGGGAAAGTGGGAGAATGGAGCCTTAAAAAGCATAGATGAAACCTCGCAGAAGAATCAGGCTGAAAGCGGAATAGAAGAGGATGGCGCCAAGCCCTCCTTAGCCTTGGGCAGCGAAACCAGATTAGCCTGGCGACTTTCTCTTCTAGGCGGTCCAGGCGAGGCAACAGAGACATACCGGCTCTACACATATGTCTTGCAGTCGATTGGCTGTTGCCCTTCATTTCGAGAGTTCCCAGTGGACAGTTAAGCCTCGCCCCTCTCGCTGATTGGTCAAGAAAGCGGTGGGCGTGCTGCCAGGATCTGCCGGGGTTGGAGGTCGCTGCGGAGTTCGTGATGGCGGCTGTTGGACTGGTCAGGAAGCCCGCAGCCAGCTGCTTCCGACGCTGCTTCCTTGGAGGCTTGTCAGTCTGGCGGCGAGGCTGCGCCGGGATCTCGGTGGACGATACGGTGAATGGCTTGAACGCAGAGCAGCGTCAGGTATACCCGGCAGCGTCTTTTAACCTTAAAAAACAATTGTCCTTTTTGCAACCTCCACCCACCTGCTGCTGAGTTTCCCGACTCCAGTTCGTGTGTCGTGAGCTCGCTTAGGGAGCATTTGCCATGAGCGGGACTGGGTCTATTCTGGATCCCAGAACTCTGTACTGGAACACACGGGAATAAGATATCCAAAGATTCGGACGGGATCTTGTATGCGCCGGCGATGAGAAACGCATCTACCTTGTTGAGGTCATTAAGAAAACGATCGCAAATAAAATTAGTTCAGGATGTGAGAAATGGTTACAATGTTTGGAGTTTTATTTCCTTAGAAAAAGTTGAATAAGCATGTTATAGAATCTGGTGATTACAATACTGTAACGATCTCTAACCTGGATGGCTTTAAAGGATTAAATTTGTCCACGAAAGATAAAATTATTAACATTACTAGTCACAATTTAATTTTGCAGACTGTTCTGCACATTATTAGTTATTTAGGAACAAAAGCAGCATTGTGTTATTGCTTGAAACCCCCTCTTAAAGAAATTTGGATTGAGCACTGAGGAACAGAATGCTAGACTATTAAACTATGGACCTTACTGCCATCAGATGGATTGATGAATACCAATTTAAATTTTTAAAAAGACTAAAAAATTCAAAAAATAAAAAATAATTATTGAGCAGTAAATCAGTAGGATAATTTCCAGACTGAACTATAAAGTAATGTTCTAAAAAGTCAAATAACAAATAACAGTTTTGATATATAAAACGGATATGTGCTTTTGTGGTTGAGACAAACATACAGAAATTTTCTGATTTTAAAAGGCTATTTTCCCGTTCTTTCAGTTTAAAAGCATCTAAGGCAGGGGTGTCAAACTCAATTTCACTGAGGGCCGCATCAGCATTGCGGTTGCTCTCGGGGTGGGTGGTGGCCAAGGTGGGTGCGGCCAACTGGTGGGCGTGGATGGAATGGGTGTGGCCTACTGGATGGGCATGGCCACCTCTACATCGTTCGAGTCAAGAGTGCCTGTGGGGGCCTGGGCAGGAGTGGGACAGATCTGAGGGTCTCTGGCAGAAGGGGGTGGGACCGGGGCAAGCACCAAGGCATGGTCCATTTCTTCATTCCTCACGAAGGGTGACACCTTCCCAGCATGCACCCAGGGGGCAGGGCCGACACGGCAGGGGTTGGTTCCTCGCTGTTTTTAGATGGCCTTGTGGAGCTAAGACTGAATGTGTTTCAGCATAGATGGCCACCACAAAATTGTACATTGGCTCCCGGCCAGCCTGGGCCAGGGCCAAGGCAGCAGGGGCCGTTCCCTCACTGTTTCCAGGATGGCTTCGCGGGCCGCATGAAACCACTTTGCAGGCCGCATCCGGGCCCCGGGCCTTGTGTTTGATATGTCTGATCTAAGGGATATTGACATGCTTTTAAAGAAAGGAAGTTGAATTTTACAAATTCATTTTATTCTTTATTGCAAAAGTAGGTTTTTCTCATTTGTGCCTAGCAATAGAAAATCAGTTTGATGTAATGATTAAGGCATCAGATTGGAAATCAGGAGATTGGGAGTTCTAGCCCTGCCTTAAGCATAAAGTCAGCTGGACTTTATTCTCTTTCCACTCTAGGAAGAAGGCAATAGCAAACCACTTCTGAAATCTTGCCAAGAAAAGTCCAGGAACTTAACCATGCAATCACCACCATCAATAGTGACTTCAGTTGAAGGCACCAAAACAAACAAACAAAACATACCACTAGCTATAGCTTACCTTCCAGGTCCAAAAGGTTGTGGGCACATCCAGGTCTTTAACACCTTATAGAAGGACCATCCTGATTTCTGGAAAAACATACATATACATTTAATATTGGAATTGTATAGATTCTGTGATGCTAAGGGTACCTACTGGGAAATCTGGGCCACAACCCCACTATTCTTTTCTCTATATGCTTTTTTCTCTTTTAATTGAAATCTCTCCATAATCTTTAAGGACTCAGGCAGCCTGGTAATTAAATAAAATAAATAAAAATTGGTCTTTGCCTGTCATGACTTTGGGACTCTTCCTGATGCTGGATTTTCCTTATGTCAAAAGGAGCCAGACTTGGGGAATACTAGATCAGCGGTTCTCAACCTATGGGTCGCGACCCCATTTGGGGTCGATCGACCATTTCACAGGGGTCACCAAGCAAGGCTGTCCGCCATTTTTTTTCCCTTTTCCGGCAGGTGCCTTACCTCCCTTGGGCTGGGCCAGCTGGTGGCCCAGCTGGTGTTCGGCCTGCTCTGTCTCTGCCACTTGCCAGCTACGCCTCGGCCGGCGCAGGGGGCGGCACCATGCATGTGCG